CAACTTCATATTTGTTGAGCAAATGCTTACGCCATTGAGCTAAATCTCTGGCCTTTAATGCCTTTGATACTTACAAGTGAATATACATATATACAACATTTTACTAGTTTAAATGTTATTTTAAGGCAGCTTAATACTTTCTTACAGAGAAGAAGAAGTTGGATGGGATACAGAGATTAAGGATGATGTGATAGAAGAGTGTAATAAACATGGAGGAGTTATTCATATTTATGTTGACAAGAATTCTGCTCAGGTATTTTTCTTTTTAATTAGTGATGTTTATATACTGCGTTCTCTGTTTAAACATTTGGGACACATGATCACTGCATCCCATTAATGATTATTTCTGCAAGGACCTTTAACATACTGGCAAGATACTGGCTCTAAAATAAAATTAATTAAAAACTTGCCCCACATTACCAGTTTTGTGTAATAGTAAGAGCACTGACATTTTAATTTTTATCTTAAAAGTTACAGATAAAAGATTATTTGATAGGTTGCTATGTAAATCATTTGTCAATAAAATTGTGCATGTGCACATTGGCCATTGGAATATATGTAAAACATTTTGTGGTTTTGATGTGTCTTTAATTAGGCAGTATGACTAAACTTATGTGATTATGTTTTATATAACTGTGTTTATTTTTGTTTTCCAGGGCAATGTATATGTGAAATGCCCATCAATTGCTGCAGCTATTGCTGCTGTCAATGCATTGCATGGCAGGTGGTTTGCTGGTGAGTGTCCTCCCCTCCCCTCCCCAGGAATTGTGATTAAAGGTCTAAACCTAAGTGATGGTACTAAACCTAGTTGTATCTGCTTCTTTCAACAGGTAAAATGATAACAGCAGCGTATGTACCTCTTCCAACTTACCACAACCTATTTCCTGATTCTATGACAGCAACACAACTACTGGTTCCAAGTAGACGATGAAGCAAGATATAGTTCCTTATGTACATAGCTTTTTTTTTTCCTTGAGAATTCATCTTTTATTTAGATAAAAAAATAAAGAGGCAAGGGTCTACTGTCATTTGTATACAATTCCTGTTACCTTGAAGAAAATAAAAATGTTAACAGGAATGCAGTGTGCTTATTCTCCCTAACTAGCAAATCCCAATGTATACAAAGCTGTTCTTTCTCTGCCTTTTTAAATGTTCACGTAGAAAATTACATTAAGGATCTATAGGAATAGCTCTAGAGGAACAAATGTGCTTTCTGTAAAAAGGCAGACAGGTATGTAATGTTTTTAATGTTTGAGAAGCCTAACTTTTTACACAGCAGTTACATTTCACTAAGTTGATACTTGGCTCATGGTGTAGCAGATTTCTAAAGTACACATTTAGTGTATGGAAATTCAAGTCAGTGAAAGGGCTGTTTGGCTAGCATCTTGATCTTCCATTCTGATCATTTGTCAAGAAAGGGAGATTTCAAAATTATATTTGATGGTAACTTTTCAATTAATGTATCTGTAAAAGTTTCTTTGTAAATATTATGTGTTCTGGTGTGTCTTTAAGATTCCAAACAAAATGATGCCTGCATTTCCTGAAGATATTTAGTAACAGCTTGATAAATTAAGCAGTCAGAGGAAGAAATAGGAAATGCAGAAATAGGTTTTGTCTGGTTGCATATAATCTTTGCTCTTTTTAAGCTCTGTGAGCTCTGAAATATATTTTGGGTTACTTCAGTGTGTTTGACAAGACAGCTTGATATTTCTATCAAACAAATGACTTTCATATTGCAACAAATCTTTGTAAGAACCACTCAAATAAAATTCTCTTAAAAAGGCCACAGCAAATCTTCATTTATCAAATCGTTTAAAGTTACAGAAACTTGAATAGTATATATTAATTTCTTTGGGAAATAAATTCTTCATATAGAGTTGGAAGAAACTTACCCTCAAGCTGTTCCTGTCAAGTCTTTCACCATGTCTACAACTCTTAGAGCCTCTTTAGGATAATGTATCAAAATTGAAGGTGAATGAAAAAAATTGACCCTAAGTCTTAAATCTGGTATTTTGGGGCGCTTGGTATCTTGTGGACATCTTACTCAGGGGTCCGGGAGTGTTTCACAAAATGATTTTAATCTAGTTTTCCAAATATAGTAGTAAAGGGATTCTGAGCTACTTAGTTTGGTAGCAAAGCTTTATCATTTTAACTAAATTGTATGATCAACTTTATTTTGGTTAAACAATAGTTACCATTTCTAACTTTATAACCTGAGAAGAGGTTTGAGGGTGGGAGTTTCGTTATTTGGTGAAGAGATTCATAAGGATGTCGTCCCTCACCCGCCTATCAAGTCCTAGCTTTTTTCTTTTGGAGGGAACTAGACCAAACATACCCTTTGGTAGTTTTAATTTCAAATGTTTTTCTTACAGGCCCTCAATTTCCCACTGAGGACAGTGTGTACCTGTTGTAACTATTCTGGTTGTGTGTTTAATTCCTGTTTGATCTCTGATCAAGTATTTTTTTTTTTTTTTTTAAATGCCTTTTTGAGACAGGGTCTCACTGCAGTTTAGGCTGGCCTTTGAGCTCACTTTGTAGCCCAGGCTTGTTCAGACTTGCAGTGATCCTCCCTTCTCAGCTTCACATTACACAGGCGTGTGCTAAAACATCTGGCTGTATTTGTCTATTTTCATCTTTACCAGTTTTTCTAACAGTTCTGATTAACACTTGAGAGGCAGAGCTGGTCAAAATCAAGGCCTGTGTGACCTGCAGAAGTGGTTTAAAAGAGGCCTGATGAGATAGTCATTTGTGATTTGCCCTATTGAGAATCTACAAAAGTGGTTTAAAAATTAAGTGGATAAGTATTTTTTCAAATGAAGCCAGCAAAATGTTCTCAACGTACCAACAGCAAGTATTGGGAATAGGACAAGTTAAAATTTTTGCAGTGTGTGACCTTGGAGGACATGTTTTTCATAAATACACTAAGTTGAGCAGTTTACTAGGAGATTATATATATATATATATATATATATACATACAAGTGTATATATATATACATACAAATATATGTATGTATATAAAAATACTACTAGGCACCCTCTAATTTTCTGCTTTGGTTTAACAGTGGTAAGACACTACCTCTATTAGGTAGCCCACCTGTTAAGTCATTTGCCAAACTCAGTAATAACAGGCTCATAATGAGAAGAAAAGACTTTTATTATACTACAAGGGCTGGGACAGATGGGAAGTTGTAAATGTAGCAGGCAATGACTGCCCTGGTTAGCATCGTATGCCCATTCCAATGGCCATGAACGTGCCAAAGGTGCCTCCACTCTGCATCATGGTTTTCCCAATGCCACCCATCAGCTCTCGACCACGCATTCCAATCCTGAGGAGGAAACATGAGTGAGGCCAATGAAGAACAAAAATACAAGGAGGAGTTTTTAACTTCACTTTTTAGTCTGCATTTGTAAAAATGGAGCACTACTAAAGTCTGGCAGTCCTTTTATCTCCTGCTACTCCTTAAAAGTTAGCCCCCCCCCACCGTAAAAAATGACAAAATCGATCCTTCAAGAGCTTTAGGTTACTCTGCTGAATACAGCTGCCATCAATTTTATGGGAGGCAGGAGACAGTGTAAAGTACGTGGGCAAGTTTAAGTTGATTTTTGTCCCAAGGGCTTATGTGGTCCAACAGACTTGCCCCTTTCCTTTCCTTTGCATCCCCTCTCCCGCCATGGCCCCTTCTAGACATAAACGGGACTGAACCAGGGTGCACGATGTTCTCAGCTGCTTTCATTTTGCGACAAGGCCTCACTAAATCGCCCACCTGTCCTTCAACCTTTGATTCCCCTGCCTCAGTCTCCAGGGTAGCTGGGATTACAGGCATGTGCCTCCACATACATTTGCCTTTTAGTTTCCTTGTGGTAATGGTTTTGTACTTGGAAGTTGGTTTCAAGACCCCAACTCTAAAATTTACAGTCTAAATCAAATGTAAAGTAGGCTTTAAAACATTTACAGAATGGTTTTGAGGTATCTAGCGCAATGCTTAAAATGCTAAGTAACCCCCATTTTTAATTTTGGGACAGGGTCTGGATAAGTCATCAAGTTGCACAGGCTGACCTTGAATCTGTGATTGCCTAGGTCTCTCCCGAGTGTTGGGATTACAGACGTGAGCCACCACATCCAGCTGCAAATTTCTTATTACACACATCCCCCCCCAAATCCAAGGCCTTGGGCATGCTAGGCAAGCACTACATCACTGAGCTACATTTCCAGCCCTCAAGTTTGTTTCTCTTGGCGCAATTAGAGATAAGGTCAGTAAAAGTAGTAATAGCCACTTGGTATATGCCACATTCTATGCAAATTGTTGACCTGATCGTTTGAAACATGAGTTACTATTCTCACACTTGAAACATAACCTCCCACTTGCGTAAAGTCATTGAACGACTAAAAGAAGGATCAAAACCCCACTCTGCTTCCAAAGTTCAGATTCCTAAATACTAGGCGTACAGCCTAAAAGCGGTAAGATAGTAGGTCTTGCTCAAGAAAAAAGTTAGACAGAACTGGAACAAAGTAGGCTCTGTAGAGGGCCTGGTTAGACGAACTCGCTAAGTCCCGCCCAGAGATCACGCCCGCGACCCTCACCTGAGACAGGAAAAGGTGCCAAAAAGCGCCCCAGCTGCCATGCCCACGGCGCAACCCATGACAAAACCCATCTTCACGCGGTCGAAGCAGCTTGGTTGGGACTGTCCGTAGGGACCCACGGCCACCGGCATCTGCGGGGTGCGAAGAATATGGGAGTGCGGGCCTAGCCGCCTGCCCCGGAGCCAAGCGGGGCGAGAAGCACATCCAAGGTTTTGGGAACATAAATGGAGCAAATTAACTCGTAGACCAACTCCACCACCCTTTCTGGGCTGAAGACCCGACGTCGCGAGACACTGACGGGCTCCGGCCACCCCCACCTCACCTCGCTCGCGGCCTCGGTAGTTCAGCAGTACGTCTCACGGAAAGGGAGCCGGAGGCCGCTCGCGGTCGGAGGGATCACTTCCGGAGCGCGAGGCAGTACTTCCGGTAACCTGGGCCCAAAACTGCTGCTTCTTTGCGCGGTGGGCTCTGCTATCGGTACCATGTTTTTCCGAGCCGCTTGGAGGCGGGCGGCTTTGTTGGTGAAGGTTTCTCCCGGGCCGAGGCCCACCCTGCACAATCGAGGACTGCGCCTGCGTGGTACGATCCTGCTCTGGCCCGCTACCACCCTCTTGGGATGCGCTGACTTTTCTTTTGGGGCGGCAGCGCACCTAACTATTGAGCATTTCTGTCCTCGTCCTGCTTGCCAGATCCTCTCAACTTTTCTTCTCACCTGCATCTTCGTGCTTTCTCGGGAAGATCTTCTCAGCACGCCTTTGGAGCTTCACGGCCTCATATTTATGATCTCTCTTGGCCAACAGTTAGAGATGGGGATCGAGGCTTTTGACCATTCAGCAACCTTTGAAGGCTATTTCACCTGCTATGTCTACTGATTATTTCCAAACAGTTTTTACCTTCAGAGTGCTCCTCTCTCCCATCCAGACAATTTGAACCTTGCTCTCAGTGACCTCCCTCCAAGAACCTGGTTCTGTCCCTTAGCAGCTTTTTCAGTATGCTTGCCTTTTCCTTTGAGATTCTATCCCAAGCATCCCCTAAATGTCTCATCTCACCTCCTTTCAGCTTGAGCTGTTATGACCTGTGTCCATCCGTAGCTACATTCTCTCTCTTGACCACTGTGTACTATTTTTTGTCAGTTATAGATAATGCTTCCCAATCGGCTGTACCCTCAGATGCAGCCGCTGCCCCTGAGGCAGAGTCAGGCCTTCGACCTCTCTATATGGATGTGCAAGCTACAACTCCTCTGGTAAGAATGGAGGGACAGCTTTCCCTAGGGTTGTTTCCCCAGGAAGTAAATATTAGAAGCGAAAATTCACAGAAAGACTGCATCTCCTTAGAAGTGAGAGCCATTGACATATGCTGGGATAAACAAGTCAATAGGCTTAAATTCTAGTTTACTTGAAATGGTTTTACTATTTACTAGCTATCAACCTTGGTCAAATCACTTTCAGTACAGGCACTGTAATAGCAGGACACTGTAAATGACTGGACTAGCCAGGCACTTTGGCATGGTGACATAGACCTCCAGCACTCTGGAAGGCTGAGGCAGGAAAATAGCTAGTATAACCCCAATTAGCCTCTTAACACGACTATATAAAAAAAGAGGAGGGGGAGCTCAGGATGTAAATGTGCAAAGAGTTAGGTTTAACCTCAATACAAAGAGGGAAAAACCAGCCTGGCACTTGATGAGCCTATTATTGTAATTATTATTATTATCAATTTTGGTGCTGAAGATTGAATCTAGGGCTTCATACATGCTAATCATGTATACTACCACTGAGTTACATCCTTAGCTTTCCTACTTTAATAGTAATGCCAGTTTTCGCTAGCATGTTAGAAGGGGTGTTTATCTGGTAGGGTTTTATCCCAGTCTCTCATAAATCACATCATCTGGTAGGAATGGAAACATTTGCAGAAACAGTAGTCAGAACAAGTCAATACTTGTAAACTATGTGAAGGAATGGTAGAACAGTCTGGTTGAAGATAGATTGGGAGCAGGAGTGTATTAGGTTGATATTTGATTAGTTCCTGAGGAGCTAGAAGACTAGGACCTAATGCAGGCAATGTCTGAAGAGCTAGCAGTATGTTGAGACAGATTGGGCAGATGTGAGAGGTGGAGTGGGGCTTGTGTTGAGTATGGATCAAAGAGGCTGGTCTATTTTTTGTTTTGCTCAGGATCCCCGGGTACTTGATGCTATGCTCCCTTACCTTATCAACTATTATGGGAACCCACACTCCCGGACTCATGCTTATGGCTGGGAAAGTGAGGCGGCCATGGAACATGCACGCCAGGTCAGTACAGAGGAGTCTTAAGGTTCCAGTATCACCAGGTTCTGTGGCCTGTGGAGGGATTTCCTTTATGATAGGTGGGAAGAGTGGAGGCAGAAATGGTTTGGGCTACTTTGTAAAGAGATTCAGGGAGCAGCCTTGGGGTCTGACAAGCATTTGACTAGTTCTCACATTTCCTAGCTAAATTACCTTAGACAAATTACGTAATTTCTTTAGGCCTCAATTTCTCCACATTTCAAGTGAAGAGTGCATTAGATCCTGCTCTGTATGGTTATTATGATGAATTAATAAAACAGTGCTGGTAAAATTTAACTCAACATTTGCATATAGAATTCAATACTATACAAAGTAAGAGCTCAATAAGTGCACTTTTTCTCTATCTCTAGCTATATTCCTTTTTTCTTTTTTTTTTTTGCATTTTAAAGTTTGATTGGTACATTTTATTTATTTATTTATTTATTTATTTATTTGTCTTTTTCCTTTTTACCGGGGATCGAACTCACAACTGCCTTCTTGCAAGGCAGGGGCTTATGCCGCTGAGCTAAATCTCCAGCCCCTTGTTTCCATTTTTTCTATTCTTTTGTTTCTTGTTCTTTCTTTCCTTTTCCCTTTCCCACCCCTTGTTCCTGTTCTTATTTGAATATTTTCTTCCCATTTCCCAAAATCTAATATACCTTCTGGTCTTTATTTATACATGCAGTTTCTCACATCATAGAAACAATGGGATTAGGGGCTGGGGATTTAGCTCAGCGGCATAAGCACCTGCCTTGCAAGTATTTGGTTGTAAGTTGATCTTTGGTACTGATAAAAACGAAAAAGCCAAAAAAACAAACAAACAAAAAATGGGATTTAAACATTTGTAACAGATTTATTTCATTTAAGAATATGACTTCAAGGTGCATCCATTTAACTAGAAATGTCTCTGGCTTAACCTTTTATGGCTGAGTAGTACTCCATTGTATGAAAAAAACCCCACATCTTCTTTATCCATTCAATAGTTGATGGGCATTTGGGCTGTTTTCAAGATTTAGCTGTTAGAAACTGTGCTGCTATAAACAGGGATGTGCATGTATCACTGTTGTATGATGCTTTTAATCTTTTCGAGAAAATACCAAGAAAGGGAACAACTGAGTTGAATGGAATCTCTAGTTGTAGTTTTTAAAAAAATCTCCACATTGATTTGCACAGTGGTTGTACCAGTCCACAGTCTCTCCCAACAGTGATAAAGGATTCCTTTTCCCCAAAGCTCTGCCAGCATTTGTTATTGGTTGATTTCTTCATAACAGCCATTCTTTCTGGAGATGGAAGTTCAGCATTGTTTTAATTTGCATCTCTGAAATGACTAGTGATGTTGAATATCTTTTCATTATATTTATTTGCCATCTCTGTGTCTAAGAAGTGTCTATTGATTGCAGATGCCTATTTTTGGATTGGGCCTTTAATTTTCAGGGGTCTGATTTTGTTGAGTGTTCTATATATTCTAGATATTAGTCCTTTGGGGAATAGCTGGCAAAATGTTTTTCTCGCACTGTAGGTTGTCTCTACTCTGTTAGTGGTTTCGTCCAAAAGCTTTTTTTTTTGTCTTTTTCATTTTTATCGGTACCAGGGATCGAACTCACGACTGCCTACTTGCAAGGCAGGTACTTATGCCACTGAGCTAAATCCCCAGCCCCTCAAAAGCTTTTTAACAAGACAAGATTCCAGTTGTTGATATTTCATGATAGTTCCTGTGTAATCAGGAATTTTTTTTTTTTTTTTGATACTGGGGATTGAACTCAAGACCTCATGCTTGTTAGGCAGGTGCTTATGCCGCTGAGCCAAATCCCCCACCTCTCAGGGTTTTGTTTAGAGTCTTTGCCTATAACAATGTCTACCTATTCTATCTTCAGCAGATTTAGTGTTTCTGTCTTAGTATTTAAATCTTTTATTCTGTTTTAGTGTTTAAATCTTTTATTATTTTATTTGATTTTTTTGTTTAACACATGGTGAAAGATATGGGTCTAGTTTTTTTTTTGTCTTTTTTTTTTTTTTCATTTTTATCAGTACCAGGGATGGAACTCACTACTGCCTGCTTGCAAGGCAGGCGCTTATGCCGCTGAGCTAAATCCCCAGCCCCAGAACTATTCATTTCTAATAAGGGTTTTTGACACCTTTGTCAGAGATGAGGTGGCTGAGTGTGTGTTTGGAGTTGTTTCTACATCTTCTAATTTGTTCCATTGATCTTCAGGTCTGTTTTTTGCCAGTACCATTCTGATTTTATCACGGTAGTTTTATATTAATTATAATTTCAAGTCAGGCTTTAGGACGCCCCCTGCCTTGCCTTTGTTGCCCAGAATTACTTTTGCTATTTTAGGTCTCTTCTGGTTCCAGTGAACCAGGATTGTTCTCTCTAAGGCTTTGAAATATGTTATTGGTATTTTGATCAGGATTACATTATGTCTGTTTAAAAATTTTGGAAGTATGGCCTTTTTCACTATATTGGTTTTTCCTACCCAAGAACAATGGATACCTTTGTTTTTTCTGATATCCTCTTCAATCTCCTTCTTCAGAGTACTGTAGTTTTTCAACCTAGAGGTCTTGTACTTCCTTTGTTAGACTGATTCCTTGCTATTTTATTTTTTTGGATGCTGTTGTAAAAGGTGTTATTTCCCTAATTTTTCTTTCAGTGAGTTTGTTATGTGTGTAAAGAATGCAGTTGATTTTTTTTGAGTGTTGACTTTGTATCCAGCTATGATAATGAATTTGGTTATTGAATCTAGCAGTCCTATCTCAATAAATGCTTTAAAAATATATTGCATAATATTTTTTATTAGCCTGTCTTAGGCTAAAAGAGCATAGAATTTAAACTGTAACTGAATCTCTCCCTTGTCTGACCCTAGCTAGACCTATAAAGTACAGTGCTTCCTGGACAGTTAATAGAAATGCATTGAAGTTTTTGTTGCTCCAGATCTGACTCCCAGGTGTGTCGGCAACCCCATTTCGGATGAGGGAATTAATGTTTTATGTCTCTATTTCCTGGCTTGCAGCAAGTAGCATCTCTGATTGGAGCTGATCCCCGTGAGATAATTTTCACCAGTGGTGCTACTGAATCCAACAACATAGCAGTTAAGGTAAGAGAAAGGGGCAGGGTATGGTTCAGTGGTAGAGTGCTTCTTTGATAGGGAGGGAAGAGATGGACCGGATAGCATATCTGGATCTTCCTGACTTTAAAGATGGGTGTTTGCCATCATTTACACTGATAGATGTGCCAGGCATATAGCTCAGCAGCGCAGTTCCAGCCTGGCAAACTCAAGATACTGAATTTGATCTTATAACGAAAAATAAATAAATAGATTGGTAGGATTGGGTTTTTTTGTTGGTTGGTTGGTTGGTTTTTTGTTTTGTTTTGTTTTTTGAGACAAGGTGTTGCTATGCAGTTCATTCTGGCTTTGAGTTCACTGTGTAACCCAGGCTTGGTCTCAAACTCACAATGATCCTCCTGCCTTTGCCTCCTGAGTACTGGGATTACAGGCTATCTTGGTTACTTTTCTTTCATTGCTGAGACAAAATATTTGACGCCCAAAATGAAGAAAGGGAAGGTTTGTTTAGCTTAGAATCTTTGGAGGTTTCAGTCCATACTCAGCTGGCTCCAAAGCAGGCTAGCCTGGTGCTGGGGCAGCCATTTATGGTGGCTACAAACAAGAGCGGAAAAGGGCTAAAAGGGGAAAACCATATCTCCTTTCCTTTCTTATATTGTATGAGGTTTACCTGCACCTGACAGGTGCAGCACTCACACCACCAATCCCAGAGGTAGACAACGAACCAGTCACAAAGTGAGACTCAGTCACCCTAGAAAGGCCCACCTCCCATGACTGCATGAGGCTTGTGGTGACATTGCAACAAATCACAACATAGGTGTGTGCCACCATGCCCAGCTAGAGGTGTTTTTCTGAGCCACCCACTCCCACCCTATTAAGAAAAGAAGACACATTGATTTATTGCGGTTTTTTTAGCCCTTTGCAGTTTACTCTGTCTTGATTCTTTTTTTTTTTTTTCTATTGGTTTGAATCAGTGTATTAGTTGGATAGGAAATGAGTAGTTCTTAAATTTCATCTGTTTTTGTTTATGTTTTGGACAGCAGCTACTTCAAAGAGTGGATAATGGCGACTAAGTCCTTTTTTTGATTTTTTGATTTTTCACTGCTAGTAGTAGCAGTGAAGTCCAAGATAACTTATTTATTTATTTATTTATGTTTTGGTGCCCAGAATCAACTCTGGGCCTCATGCTTGCCAGGCAGACACTGCACCACTGAGCCAAATCCCCAGCCCATGATAACTTTCCTTGACATATTTTCCTGCTTCTTGTTAGCAGTTTTGCTCTTACTTAATTCCATGGCTGCCTTCCTATCAGCTGCCCTTTTATTTCTAATTATACCTGCTTACAAGAAATTCTTCTCCAGGCCGGGGATTTACGTCAGCAGCATAAGCACTTGCCTTGCAAGCTCTTGGTCATGAGTTCGATTCCCCTGTACCAAAAAAACCAAATTCCTGTCCATGGCAGGGTATATAGTTCAGTGGCACAATATCTGCCTGGCAAGCATGAGGTTTGAATTCTATTCTTGATACCGAAAAAAAAAAAAAAGAAATTTCTCTCCCTGTTTAGGTGCCTTCCATAGACATTCACTTGTTGCTCAGTCTGGGATCATTCTACCCTGGAAACACACAGATCCTTGATGCTAATGCAAGTAGAATTACACTCTTAGCAGCAATGTTGACATCTCAGAACATAATCACATTGGACTGGGCCCAAATTACTTGAGTAAATGCCATACTCTGAAAAACTGTGACCTCTGTAAGTTCAGCCCTGGCTCTAAACGTTCTTACCATTCTTTTGCACCTATGCAGCCAATATTGGTTTTTCTGAGCTCTGTCTGAGTATAGGAGGTCTGTGATAGGCTCAAGAATCATCAGCACTGATCTCATTGGCAGGAAGGAATTCTTTGAATTTTGGAGATCAGAGTCCAAATGGAGGTCTTTCCAAAGGTGGAATGGTTTGTGAAATGAGAAACTTTTGAAAGAAAAAAGCCTGTATATGTGTATGTATATATATGTATATGTATGTGTATATAAAAATAATAGTCAAGATAGTTATTATACCACTGATTTCTCTGTGTTCACTGAAGAGGAAGATTTGTGCTGGTATTGTTTAGACAACTGAATGCAGTTGTGTTGTGCTCTGGGTGAATGATTTGGGGATGATAATGCACAATGTACGTACCATTGTTACCCCCTGATTGATGTGTTTTGAATTTTTTATTGTATTTCTTTTTTGATATTTGTATCTTTGAACTAAAATGGATTTGTAAAATAAACCATTGGGAGAAAAAAAAGAAAGGAGCTTTAAAAAAATTTTTTTTTTGATACTAGGGATCCAACCTCACATTTGCCAAGTAGGTGCTTGGGGAGTGTTTTTGAAAATGTTTTGGAAGCCTCTAGAGATTCCAAACCTTAACTAGGTGCAAAATTGCTAAAAGAATCCTTGATTTTATTCCTCTTATTCTCCTGAGTGGATGTATAAATATATATCTTCCATTAAAGAATTTCACATCATAGGTAAAATATGAGAGGAAGGAAGACAATATATTATCTAAATTACATTGTGTAGAAATGATAATATAATTTTGAACCTTCTCATTGCCTCTAAGTCACTTATATTGTTATTATTGTTTTGTTTTGAAACAGGGTCTCAGTATGTTGTTCAAACTTGACTTTAGCTCACTATGTAGCCTAGGCTGGCTTTAACTTGCAGTGATCCTCCTACATCAGCCTCCCAAGTGCTGCAGTTACAGACATTAGTCACCATACCCAGCATAAATCAATTTTTAAATACTTTTTTATGTTCTTTGTCCTTAGGAACATAACAGTTTTATGTAGCTATAATGTGGGTCCAGTTAACTTTGCTAGGGCCTGAGCATGCTATGTACACCTCTGACACTGAGCTATCTCCCCAGCTCCTAATTAGTTTTATTTGTTTTTTTGTCTTGTTTTGTTTTCCAAACAAGGACTTGGTCTGTTTCAAGCTATACTTGGACTCACTATGTGATCCAGGCTTGTCTTGAACTCCTAGCATTCTTCCTGCCTCAGCCTCTTGAGTAATGGGATAAGCATGAACCACCACGGCAGCCACAAAGTTAATTCTAAACTAATTTTCTTAGCATTATTCCAGGAAATGATCATATGCAGATGTGAATGTCTCTCCCTCTTTTTATCTTTCACTTCTTTTTGCTTTCTTTTTCTTTCTTTTTTTTGGGGGGTGGGGTGGGGACAGTGCCTTACTTTATAGGCTGTCCTTGAACTTATTTTATAGCCCAAACTGGCCTCAAACTTTTTTTTTTTTTTTTTGAGACAGGGTCTTGCTATGCAGTTTAGGCTGGCCTTGAACTCACTTTATAGCCCAGGCTGGTCTTGAACTCACAACAATTTTCTTGCCTCAGCCTCCTGAGAGCTAGAATTATGGGTGTCTGCTGACCTCAAACTTTTTTTAAAACTTTGTTTTTATTCCCATAGTAATGTGTAATTGATAAGATATTATATTGGAAAGGCCTTGTCTGTGATATGGTGTAGATTTATGCCTAATGCAGGATTCCTTTTTTTTTTTTTTTTTTTTTAAGACAGAATTTCACTGTGCAGTTCAGGCTGGTTTTGAACTCACTCTGTAGCCCAGACTGGTCTGGAACTCACAATGATCCTTGCCTCAGCCTCCTGAATGCTGGAATTACAGGCATGTGCCATTATGTCTGGCATGGCCTCAAACTTTTGATCTGCTTGTTCAGTGCTGAGATTATAGCAGAATACTATCACTTCTGGGTTTGCTTGTTTGTTTGTTTTTATTGAGACAGAATATCAGTCTGATGCAGTGGGGTTTTTTTTGTTGTTTTTTTATTACCAGGGTTTGAACCCACGACCTTACACTTTCCAGACAGGTGCTTATGCTACTGAGCTAAACCCCTGGTCCCAGAGTATCACTGTTAGCCAGAGTGGTCTCCAACTTGTGGACTCAAGTGATCTTTCTACCTCAGTCTCTTTTCTTTTTCTAAAATTGAGTGTAATTGTCAAAGAAAGTCATATATATTTAAAGTATGCAACCTGATATCTTGAGATACATGAACATTGTGAAATTATTACTAAAATCATGATAATTAACATACCCATTATCTCATGTACTTACAACAATTCTTTATTTCCTCTGTTTAGAGCCATTTTATAATAGCCTACGTGAAAAAATACTCTTAAATTAAAAGCAAAATTTTCTTGGCATCTCAATTACAGTGACAGATTAAGCCAGTTAAGTGAACGCTATTATAGGGATTTTTCTTGATATCTCTGTGTATAAATGTATTTTTGAAAAATAAAAATTGGCAATAGTCTCTCTCTCTTTCTGTCTCTGTCTGTCTAGTACTATTGGAGCTTGAACAAAGCCCTGAGGCCTTTGTACTGGGCTACATCCCCAGTCCTTTTTTATTTTTTCTGTTTTTTCTATGTTTTGTTTTGTTTACTTTTTGAGACAGTGTCTCACTATGCAGTTCAAGCTAGTTTGTATTCACTATGTAGCCCGGTCTGGGCTTGAACTCGCAGCAGTCCTCTTGCCTCAGCCTCCTAAGCCCTGGGATTTAAAGCCTCTGTTACCATGCCTGGCTCCCAGCACTTTTTTAATTCTTTTATTTTGACAGGGTCTCAAATGTCCTAACTAAACATGAACTTGTGATCCTCCTTCCTCAGCCTTCCAGCATACTGGGATCACAGGCACATGCCACCATATCTGGTATATTATTTTTTAATGACATAAGTATAACTTTTATCCCCCTTATTACTGGTACTTAAACCCCCTCTTTCCCTCTCCCTTTTTCCTTTCTCTTGTCTCATAGTCCCCTATTTTCATGTCATCTCAACTTTTTGAGTAGCTGGGACTGCAGGTATGTGACACTGTACCTGGCTGTGCTTTTTTACTTAGATAAATTGGATGGTTCTTGGTTATTTTCTAATAATAATTAAAAATTTCTGGAATTTTAACTCATTTTGGTTACTTCTGATATTAATATTGAAAGTATCTGGTAGAATATGTGCTTAGTATGTACAAGACCCTTAGTTCTATCCCTAGCACACACACACAAAAATTCCTCATGAATGGAATTCAAGTCATAATTGTTTCTGAGAATTTTCTCTTTTCTTCCACATCATGATTTTTTTAGGGAGTGGCCAGATTCTATAAGTCACGGAAAAAGCATGTGATCACCACACAGACAGAACACAAATGTGTCTTAGACTCTTGCCGTTCACTGGAAGCAGAGGGCTTTCGTGTCACCTACCTCCCAGTACAGAAGAATGGAATCATCGATCTAAAGGTAGGTGTGGTCCATGATATGTGGGACAATCAGGAGGAGCCTGGCTTCAGCCTATAAATCCTTCTCTTTAACCTTTCCTGGAAAAGTTTCATCTAATGGCAAAGGTGAGGCTTAGAGAAATAAGTCTTGCAGAGAAGAATGTGTTTCCCTTGAGTATGTAGCATTCTCTTTGGAAGACTTATTTTTCAACTTGTTGGTGTTTCCCTCTTTATTTTATTTTATTTTAAAGAGAAAAAAATGGAAAAATCAAGAAGCAAACTAAAAAACAACAACAAAAGCAAAATGACAACAACAACAAAAAAAACAATAGTGATACAGGTTTTCAAAACAAGATGATAGGATTTTAACACTGGTTGTTATATTGCATATTGTTATGTTCAGAATGGTTGTTTAGGTTACCAGTTACAGGAATAAAATCAAACAATAAAACAGAAAAAACATTGGGTTTCAAAAACAAGACAGAAGGAAATCCCCTGCAGTTGCTATAATGTATATTGTTACCTCCAAATAGGTGCTTAGACTACCAGCTTTAGGCCTGCAAAGTCAATCAGACAATATAAGCATTATCATTATTATTACTATTTTTTACTTAGTTGCTATCATCGCAGCCTGAGCTTCTCTGAATCAGCTTGTTGCTTCTAGGGAGAGGAATTGCTCTTTGTGTCTCCCAGCTTGAGTGCTGGCTGACTCACAAGAAGGCATAGTTTGTTTTCTCGATTCTCCTCCCATTCTTCTCTGGCAGTGGGGATTAAACTCAGAACCTCATGTATGCTATGCGATTCTCTTTCTTACATTGAATCATTATTCATATTCATATCTGTAGTTTCTTCCTTATAGTGTCTTTAGAATTATGCTTTTCCCTCATTCCTTTCTTTGGAAAGGTCAAATCTTGAATTGTAACCACTTTTGGAATTTAACTGTGTTGCCTAAACTAGTCCTTTAGCCACCGTGTTCTAACATATCCTATAAATCCTCAATGGACTTTTATTTCTTGTTTTTTTGTTTGTTGTTTTTGTTTTTGTTGAGACAAGCTCTCAGTATGTAGTGCAGGCTGGCCTTGAACTTGCTTATATATCCCAGGCTGGCCTTGAACTCATGATCTTCCTGCCTCAGCCTAAGATTACCAACATGTGCCTGCTGAACTCTTATTTCTAGAGGACTTTTCTTCTAAGGGACCAGACTGTATTCCTAAAGTTTTTTGTTTTTTGGTTGGTTTTTTTTGGTATTTGCCATTGATACTCTGGTTCTTTTTCTATAACTCCAACTTTTTTTTTTTTGAGCAGAGCAGGGTTTTACTAAGTCATAAGGTGCCTAGATGGCCTAGATTGCTCTTTTGGCCTCAGCCTCCTAGAATAATGAAATTATAGGCATGCTGTGCTACTACACCCAGCCTGTTAAATGATTCTTTCACTTTTCACAAACCTTGAAAGTTTTGGCTGACATTAAAATTTCATAGTCTGGTGTGTTTGTACACTGCTATAGTACTAGCATGTAGGAAGCTGAGGTGAGAAGATCTCTTAAAACCAAAATGGTTTTTGTTTATGCAGTGCTATGGATCGAACCTAGGGACTTTACACTGAGCTATATCCTCAAACCCTTACCCCCTTTTTTTCTTTTGGGAAAATTTTGATAATTTTATTATATTAGTATATATTTGTAATTCATTGTAATTTGTAATGCAGTTTGCATTCATTTTGGGGATTGGTTATGTGTACCAATTACAGCTTGTTTTTTTAAATCCTCTTCCTCTTCCATCCCCTTTTCTCCCTCAGTTCTTTTTTTATTTTGTTCTTTATATTGTCTCATGTAAATGCTAAGTTGCTAAGGCTGTGTTTGAACTTGTGATTCTCTTGTCTCAGTCTCTCAGAGCCCTAGGATTACAGATACATGCCACCTTGCCTAGTTCTGTAGGGTATTTGTTTTCAAATTTTTACATTTTTAAGAAATGATGTTTAGATTTGTTTGTTTTTTGTTTTTTAGTACTGGGGATTGAGCCTGATGCCTTTGTATATGCTGGACAAGTGCTGTACCACCCTACATTCCCAACTAGGGTGATGTGTGAGTGTCAGAGTATGTGTGTGTGTGTTCAAACAGGAATAATTTTAGTACTTCTTTCCAACCTGGATGTTATTTGAATTTCTCACCTATTCAGAATTTGTACTGCAGTGTTGAATAGAAATGACTAGAATGACTATCTTTGTTATTATTTATCCTAGGCAAAAGTTTTTAACCTTTCTACTCCTAAGGATGATTTCCGCTCTAGATTTTTATGGAGGTGTCTCTTTATAGATGTCCTTTATCCACTTGATTAAGTGGTTTCTTGAATGTTTTCTCATAGAAGGGTTGTCGGATAAGTTAAATTGTATTCTCTTAACCATTGTGAGTGTATTTCTGTAGGCATAGTTAGATATTGCAATAAAGCTTTAGAAAGCAAAAAAAGAAAAAAGGTATTGGATTTTATCAATTGTATTTTTGTGTTTTTTAAGTGATCATGTGGTTTTTGTGTTTTTTTAGATGGCAAATCATTGTCTTTATTATGGCCTGGCACTGAAGTTGTATTAAGATAGTACTGTGGGGGCTGGGAATTTAGCTCAGTGGCCTAAGTGCCTGCCTGGCAAGCACGAGGTCATGAGTTTGATCCCCAGCACAAAAGAGAGAGAGAGAGAGAGAGAGAGAGAGAGAGAGAGAGAGAGAGAGAGAGAAAGTACTGTGGACATACCAGATTAAGCACTCATCACAGTATTCCTAAATCATAGAAAAACAAAGCAATAGAATATAAAATATAGTGTTCCATTACAGCAGAATATATTTATACATTTTAGAAAGTAAAATGAGGCCAGATATGGTAGTATATGCCTATAATTCCAGCTACTTGGGATGTAGGAGGACCACAAGTTCAAGTACAGTAGGAGCAAGTTGGCAGCATCTTACCTCAAAATGAAAATAAGAAAAGGCTGTGGCCATGGCTGTGGCATGTAGCTTATACACAAAACTTGGGTTCAATTCCTGGTACAAGTGAACTTGGGTTCAATTCCACCACCACCAAAGAAAGAAAAAAAATTAAAATGATGCTACAACCACGATTGTGTGATTCTGTTCTCTGTTCTGTTTTTCTTTTGTGTGCGTGTGTGTCTTGAACTTACTGTGTGGCCCTGACTGGCTTCTGATTCAGCCTCCCAAATAGCTGAGCTAATAGTTGTATGCCACACTAGATGATTATTATTGTTGTTATTTTGTGTGTGGTGGGGAGTGGGGTACTGGGTATTGAATCCAGGGTCTTGTGCACGTTAGCCAAATGCTGTATCACCTAGCCAAATCCCCAACCCCTGGCTAGATTTTTTTTTTTTTTTTTTTTTTTTTTGGTCTTTTTCGTTTTTATCGGTACCAGGGATTGAACTCACAACTGCCTGCTTGTAAGGCAGGTGCTTATGCCGCTGAGCTAAATCCCCAGCCCCCCCCCCCTTTTTTTTTGTCTCCCTGGCTAGATTTTTGTTTTCAAAATACTTAACATAGTGCCTTATTTTGTATTTTTTTTAAAGATAATAAAACAGAATAAAACCAATCAAAATAAACCAGTGTAAAAGATACAGGCCTCAAACCTTACAAAATCAGGGCTGGGGATTTAGCTCAGCAACTTAAGCATCTGCCTTCTCAGCCCGTGGTTGTGAGTTTGATTCCTGGTACCGATTAAAAAAAAAATTACAAAATCAACAGTAGCCTTTTAATGTCTTCAAACTAACTGCAGATAATTTCAGACATAGTAAAAATCAAACAGAACAGAATAGAATAAAATAATAAACAAAATAATGAATGCAGTTGGAGGTTTAAGCTCAGCCGCAAAAGTGCCTGCCTGGCAAGCACAAGATTGTGAGTTTGATCCCTGGTACCAAAAACAAAACAAAACAAAACAACAAAAAATGCATGCAGTAAATGGCTTCAAAATAAGTCTATAGTAAATCCAGAATTGCTATCATAATATATCTTGCTGTCTTTGAATTAGCTGCTCCTGTCATCAGATTTAACATAATCAAACAAAACAACAGAGAATAAAACTCAACCCTACAAAACAATGGAAATGATATAGGACCTTAAAACAAGACCATAGGGAATGAACAATGGCTGCAACCCTCAGGAGGAGATCTCCAGTAGATGCCACACTGTGTACTGCTATCCTCTGAACCTATGACCAGACCGCTGGCCCTAGACCTGCAATGTTAGTGAAACACCAAAGCACCGCAGGCATCCAATTGCATTTCACCTCCATAGCTATCATCACAGCCTGTGTTTCTTTGGATAAACTGGTCACTTATGCAGGTGGGGTGGGAGAAGGATTGGTACTTATTGTATTATCAATCTGCATGCCAGAAGGGGCTGGGGTCTGGCTTTTTCCAGTCTGGTAGTGGCCTGCTCATGGTACTGGTTCTCATACTGGGCTTGCTTGCTGGTATGGTCTTGTTCTCTCTCCCCTAGTCCACAAATGGCACTGACTCATGAGAAGAGGCTTGAGTCTAGCTGATCCTGGTCTGGTGGCAGCCTGTGCATAGTGCTGGTTCCCAGACTGGACTGTTCTCTCTCCCCCAGTTGCAATGACCTCCTTTGTATTTTTTATTATGCCAATGCATAGGGAGAGAAGGTTCAGCAGGACAGGCAAATCAGAGTAGTTCCTCCTGCTTTCATAGAGCTCACATTTCAGTGGAGGGGCTGTTAAATATGTAAATAAACATAAATGAAATAACTGCTACAAAGGAAGCAAACAAGATACTTATAGAGATCCCTTTCCCGACCTTGTCGCAGTCCAGGAAGTTTATATTTGTAGTCCCATGGAAAAGTTATTGGAATTTTAGCAAGTTAATACTAGTTTACCACTTCCAGTGCAAGCCACAGCAAGAATAAAAACACAAAGACATATTTATGGTTATGGGGAGCCAAGAGGTCTTTAGTCTGGCTAAGGTGAGGTTTCATCAGAACAAAGACCTTGAACCAGGGCCTAATTTGGATTTTATTAATTCATGAAGAATGGAGAGGCTAGAGGATGAGTGACTATGAGAAAGGTGGGAATTAGGTGAGTACTGTGAGCTGGGCTGGCTAGGAGACCTGAAAGCATCCCTGCAATATGCAGAGAGAAGGATATGTAGAAAGACGAATCTGCATAACACAATTGAGGTAACATTTAGGAGTCCTGCGCTTCAGCTCTGATGTGCTTTGCCTGTGCTCTCTGAAGTCATAGCATCTTATCAGGTGGCCACACCCAGTTGACAGCCCTGGAGTGGTGGCTCAACCCATGTTTTGGGAGTCACGGCCTAAGGGAACAGTGACTGTCACCTAGCTTCAAAGATTACACAATAGCAGCTCATTTAGCCCTATTAACATTGCTTACAGCCAGTTGAAGGGGAAAGGAAATGGCTTAGCCAGCTCTGTACATAACTGTACATGGAGATAGGTCCAGATTTAGCCAAAGTGGAGATAGGTTCTCTTTTGTTCAAGGAGAGTCGTCCAGATTGTCCTTCACAGATGCTGAGAGAGAATTTGACATTGAGTACCTACATTAGTCCAGTGTAAGGCAAAGGCATAATAGATGTTGATGGTTTAACTAATAGTCCCTTTGTGATATGTAATAATACCTTTGTGTAATAATACCTTTGTGATCCCTTTGAGTTTCAATAAGATGTGGTTCCTGCCTCCATGTTGTTAGCAGTAACCCCTGTCCTTGCTTTCTTTCTGTTTCTTTCTTCCTTTTTTTATCTTCCTTTCTTTTCTTTCTTTTTTTCATTTTTTTCTTTGTTTCTCTCTTCCTGCCTCCCTCCCTCTGTCTCTTTCATTCTTTTTTTTCTTTCATTAGTTCTTTCTTTTTTTTTGTTTTTTTAGATAGCATTTCCCTGTTTAGTTTAGGCTAGTCTTGAACTCCTATGTAGCCCACTCTGGCCTTGAACTTAGAACAGTTCTCCCGGTTCAGTTGTCTGAGTGCTGGGATTATAGACATGTGCCACCATACCTGGCCTGTTCAAAGGAACTTACCATTTTGTAATATTATATAACTGGAATTATACAGTATTTAACCTGGGTTAAATTGGCTTTCTTCATTCACCATATGTCTTTGGCAATTCATTCATTGTTTCATGTACATATTGTTTGTTCTTTTTTATAGATGTACCTTAGGGGTTTTTTTGTTCATTTGTTTTTCTTTAATTTTTTTTATTATTTTGAAGGTAGTAAAATACAACAGAACAAAGCCAATTGAGACAAGGCAGTGAAATCAGGTATAGTAATATCAAACCAAAAACAGAACATTATAGAACTTATCAAAACAGAATATTGAATAGAGCAATACAATTAATCAGAATAAAGCAAAACAGTGATAACAATATTTGCCTTCAAAGAGATGGTAGGAGGAAATCCCCCAGATTTGATATATTGCATATGGTCAACCTCTCAAGAGATGCTCAGACTGCTGGCTCCCATTTGCTAATGGGGAGGGTGGGGAAGGATAGGATGTTTGATTCTCAGCCTATGTGCCAGTAGGCTCATGGCTGTTTACAAGGGAGGTGAGCAGGTTGCTTTGTTTCTCAGCACCCTAAGTTTCAACATGTAACGGATGTTGGGAGACCTTGGCTGATTCTCCCCCTGGGGCGCCTGCCACTTGCTCAAACCATGGCTGTTTACCAGTGAGGCAAGAAGGTTACTTTGTTTCCCAGTCCTCTAAGTTCCAACATGGCTTGTTTTTGTTTTTTAAATATGGTCTGGCTATGCCGTTTGGATTTGCCTTGAACTGACAATGTAGCCCAGGCTGGCCTTAAACTTGTGGTGATCCTCCTGCCTCAGCCTCCAGAGTGCTGAGATTATAGGAGTGTACTTTGTAGCTCAGAAAGTACCAAAGTTTTATTAACCATGTATCCATGAAAGGATATCTGGGAAGTTTCTAGGTTTTGACTAATACAAAAGCTACTAAGAATATTTGTGAGTTGGGGATGGTGGCACATACCTGTACTCCCAGTATTCTGGGAGGTTGAGACAGGAGGATTGCAAATTCAAGCCCAGCCTGGGCAGTTTAGCAATTTAGCAAGATCATGTCACCAAGAAAAAAGAGAAAGAGAAAAAGAAGAAAGAAAGGAAGGAAGAGAGAGGGAAAAAAAGAAAGAAAAGAGAGGAAAAAGAAAGAACAAAGTTTTTGTACAAGTTTTTTTTTGTGAATTTTTATTTCTGTGGGATGAATGGTCAAGAGTGCAGTGAATGTGTCATGTGGTAGTTTTATGTAATTATTCTAAGAAGCAGAGGCTGATATAGGTCTGTAGCTAGTTATTTGGGAGTCTGAAATAGGACAATGAGTTGCGCCCAGGAATTTGAGGTCAGTCTAGCATCATAGCAAGACAGTATCTCTGAGAAATCAAAAAACAAAACGAAATAAAAAGCTATTAAACTGTTTTCTAAAATAGTTATACCATTTTACATTTCTCTGTATCTTCACCAGCATTTTGTGTTGTGACTTTTCCTTCAGTGCTGGGAACCACATGCAAGCACCAAGGAAGCACTCTACACTGAGCTGTATCCCCAGCCCCATATCATTTTTATCTTAACCATTTTGACGCAAAGGGGTGCAGTGAAAGGCCTCTTTTCCTTTGTCTTTTTTCTTCTCCTACACTCCCCTCCCCTTACCTCTGCACCTCTCTTCCAGACAGAGGCTCAGTTCCAGTTCTTGCTATGTAGCCCAGGCTCATCTCAGATTTCCTCTGTAGTCCCCAGTGGCCTTGAACCTAGAATCCTGCCTCAGCCTGATGCTGCAATTACAGGCATACACCACTGTGTCTAGTGAAAGGCCTCTTTTTAAGACTTGCCTACAGGGGAGGCTTTGTTGGCCCTAGATTGTCAGCAAAGCCCTTACTTCTGAATATTTCTAGGAACTAGAGGCTGCCATCCAGCCAGATACCAGCCTGGTTTCAGTTATGACTGTGAACAATGAGATTGGAGTGAAACAGCCTATTGCAGAAATAGGTGAGTATTATAGTTTAAGTCTTGCTTACTGAGTTCCCTCTCTGCAGCAAGAGTATGGTGGGAGCTCTAATACTATAGAGTGTATGTAGTAAAGCAATCCAAGGAATCAGAATTCTAAGTACTTTGTTCATGAACATTTTAAGTAGCACAAACAATTTTGGACTTTAGGTCCAGTACCATTTTTTATTATGTTTGTTTGGTTTTGTTTCTTGAGATAGTCTCACTATATAGTACAGGCTGGCCTTGAACTCACTTATGAAGTTTACACTAGCCTTGAACTTAAAATCCTCCTACCTCAGCTTCCTGAGTGCTAAGACTACAGGCATACACCACCAAACCCGGCAAATTTAGTACATACATCCATACATACATTTATTTATTTATTTTTGTTGGTGGTACCTGGGACTTAAAACCAGAGCCTCATGGATGTTAGGCAAATGCTGTACCACTGAGCTACATTCATAGCTCCAAATGATAAGTTTTAACATTGCACTGATCCCACCAGCAGATAGCTGCCAGGATAGCTGCGTTGTACTTGCTAGGCAAGTATGCTACCCCTGAGCTATGTCATGTGTCCCTTTTATTTTTATTGTTTTTTTTGCCAAAAATAACAATTACCTAAAACAAACTAACAGCAATGATGTTTAGAACAGCATCCCCACTTAGAGCTCATCCTCTAATCAATCACTCCCTTTTTCTTTTTTTGGGACTCGAACCCAGTTCACACTGAGCTACCTCCTCCACTCTTTTTTGTCTTTGTTTTGAGGTAGGGTGTTACTATTTTTACTAAATTGTATGAGATGGGCTTAAGCTTGTGATCCTTTTGCCTCATTGAATTTGTGATTTTTCTGCCTCAGGGTCCTAGGTTCCCGAGATCACAGGCATGTACCACCACATCGCTGTGTAGTTCAGGCTGGCCTTGTATTCTGCTTCAGCCTTCCCAGTGCTGAGATTACAGGCATGTGTCACCATGCCCAGCTTCTTTAATCTCTTTATGCACATTAAAATAAGATGTTGATTTTTTTAAATGAGAAAGGTTCTAAAAGGTAATGTGACTTAGGAAAGGCCAATGTTAATGAGGCAGTAAGAAGAACCTTATGCATGAGTATATCAGGTGGGTATTGATTTGCTGCTTTACCCTTGATGTTTAGAGTGAGAGCAGGGGTGGGGGTAGGGGGGGAGGAAAAGAGGAAAGGGAAAAAGGAAGAGAGAAGAGAAACAAGGGGAAGAGGAGAGAAAAAGGAGGAAAAGATAGGTAGGAATGGGAAAGGATTTACTATAATATTAGTGGTAATTTAATGTGGGTGGAGACAATTTATAGTGTACTATGGGTTGTTTCCTGGTTACTTCCCAATATTGTGCTTCCCAATATTTCCCCTGTATTATTTCCTCAGGGCAGATTTGCAGTTCCAGAAAGGTATATTTCCATACTGATGCAGCCCAGGCTGTTGGAAAAATCCCACTTGATGTCAATGACATGAAAATTGATCTCATGAGCATCAGTGGCCACAAACTCTATGGGCCTAAAGGTACCAGCTCCTTCTAGATTTCCTCTTCTTTCTTTCTTTCTTTTTTTTTTTTTTTTTTAAGATTTCCTCTTCTTTGAACCTGTCCTCAAACCCTTTAACAGATGTTTCTTAAAGTCATTTGAGCTATGAGCCATTGTTGTCAGAGGAACTTGTGCATCGAGAATGCTTTGCAGAGTACAAGTGTCATGTATGTGTTTATTTATTTATTTATTTTGTGGTTTTGTGTTTTTTTTTGGTACCAGGGATTGAACTCAGGACCTCTAGTCTGCCAAGTAGGCACTTACACAGCTGAGCTAAATCCCGGCCCTATTTTGTGTTTTTGAGACAGGGCCTCAGTCTGGCCTTGAACTCACTATATACCTCAGGCTGATTTTGAACTCGTGGCAATCCTGCCTCAGTCTTCCAAATGCTGGGATTGTAGGTGTGTGTCACCATGCACAGTTTGCATTTATATACCCGAGCAGCTATAGGTATACAGTAGCTCTTGGAAAGAGAATGCTTTTTGTTTTTGTTTTGAGACAGTCTTGCTATGTAGTTCAGGCTGCTCTCAAACTTGTAACAATTCTCCTGCCTCTCAATTTCTCAAATGCTGGGATTACAGACATGTGTCACCACCCCAACTAGAATGACAGTGTTGACCTGTGTTTTAACAAAGTAGCCATAAAAAGACAAACGCTGCTGCTCTATCCAGAGTGAAAGCATTTTTTGTTTTTTGGTTGGTGTTTATACTAGTACACTTTCTGTGTCTGCAGGGGTTCATCTTAATGTACACTTTGTGGATAAGTGCAACAGCTTCTGGAAGGATGGATGGATGATAGCTTCTTCACAGGGTTTCCAGAAGTCCTAGAGCTTTTGTAGGATGTTCTTTCAAAAGGCTCAACAGATATTCTGTCTACCTAAAATATTGGTTTTGTTGGCCGTTTCTTCCCTTTCCTTTTCCTGTTTCTTCTTTCTTTCCTTTTTTCCTCTTTCCCTGCTCTTACCTTCCCTATTTCCCTCTCTCCTTCTATTGCTTCTTTTCTTTTTTTTAAGTGCTGCGGATCAAACTCATTATCCTCAGGCATTGTTCTGTCATGTAGCTACACTCCCAGCCCTACTGTCTTTTATTGTAGATAAATCTATTTTGATAAAATCAATGAATTCCTTTTGATCAGAAGCTCCAGTCAGCATTTTGATGTGTGTAGCTACCCTCACTATTCAAACTCCTGCTTTCCAAATATAGACGCTTAAGTAGATTTTCATAGTATGATACCCTTCACCATCCTGACATGATATTTGAGCACTTGTTCTCTGAATTTTGGAATTACATAGATTCCGTTAGTATAGGACAATTTCTTTTCTTTTCTTTTCTTTTTTTTTGGTAAGGGGGATTGAACTCATGACCTTGTGCTTGCCAGGCTAGCGTTTATGTCCCTGAGCTAAATTCCCACCCCTTTGTTTTGTTTTGTCTTGGAGAATTCTAGCTTTGTAACTCAGGCTGGCCTCAGACTCACTATGTAGCCCAACCTGGCCTTAACGCAGTCCTCCTGCATCAGCCTCCTAGAGTACTATGGTTACAGGCATGTTCTACTATGCCTGGCTCAAGCTGGTTTTGAATTTCTCTCTTTTTTTTTTTTGTCAGTACCGGGGATTGAACTCACGACCATGCTTTTGCAAGGCAGGCACTTATGCCGCTGAGCTAAATCCTTAGCCCTGGTTTTGAATTTCTGATCCTCTTCCTTCAGCCTCTAGAGCAGATGGAATCATAGGCATGCGCCAGTGTGTCAGTTTGAATTTCTTTCTTTTTTTTTTTTTTTTTGTCTTTTTCGTTTTTATTGGTACTGGGGGTCGAACTCACGACTGCCTGCTTTCAAGACAGGCGCTTATGCCGCTGAGCTAAATCCTCAGCCCCCCAGTTTGAATTTCTTAATAGATGCAGTAGTTAATTTAAATTTGGGAACCACTGTCTTACGTTTTATAGTACTTCTATTTTCTTTCTTCCCCTTATTTTTTCTCTTTCTTTTCTTCCTCTTCCACCACTTCTTTCTCTTCTTTTTCTTTTCTTATTTTTTGAGACAGAGTTGCTCTGTATTCAGATTGGCCTTGAGCTCCTTTCAGTGATCCTCCTGCCTCAGCCTCCCAAGTGATGGGATTATAGACATGTGTTACAATGCCTGCTCACTACCTTCATTTTGTGCCTAAATAGTTTTCTGTATAGGAGATGAATTTTATTAAGGGCTCACATTATTCAAAAACCCTTGACTATTTAGTGAATTTCTTTTCTTTTTTATTTCTTTCTTGGTATTGGGGATCAAATTTACAACCTCATGCTTACCAGGCAGGCACCATGCCGCTGAGCTAAATCCTCAGCCTTTAGTGAATATCTTTGCATATTTATGCTCATATATATATATATATTTTTTTTTTTTTTAAATCTTTTTCATTTTTATTGGTACCGGGGATCGAACTCATGACTACCTGCTTGCAAGACAAGTGCTTATGCCACTGAGCTAAATCCCAGCCCCATGGTCATATTTTTGTACAAATTGTGTTTTCGTGTAAAATTGTTTTGATGGGTCACGGGAGATTATATATGTATATGTTTTGATAGACCTTGGGAGATAGTGCTAATTCTTAGCACCATTCTCACCCCCTACTCCTTTATTTTCCCTTCATTTTTAAAAAACGTAGGTAATATATTTACATATTTCAAAATTCAATAATGCACACAGTGAAAAGTCTACCTTCTACTCCTGTCTGCAACCTTTGGGGAAATGGTATCTTGGTTCTCTCCTTTCCTTCCTTTCTGTCTTCCTCTTTCCCTTCTTCCTTCAACAAGCCTCACTCTGCAAGGCTGGCATCAAACTGTTGGGCTTAACCAACCCTGTTTTAGCTTCAGTGCTGGGGCTGTATAGTAGCCATGCACCACTATGCCTGTATGACTAGCTTGAATAGTTTTCTAGAATTACTCGGTGCATTTTCAAGTATGTAGTACATATATACTTCCTCTCTGTCCCCCTTTTTAGCTAAATGATAGCTTATCATAGTTATTTTGATCTTGCTTTTTCACCTAACAATACATCCTTTTGTTTATTTTGAACTGTATAAACAGTTCAAAATAATTTGAATTTGGGGAATTTGGGGAAATTTCACCAGTTTTTTATTAGTACATGTTTGCAGAACATGATTACATTCATCATTGAGAATGTTACATGTACATAATACATTTCAGGCCAGGCATGGTGGCACATGCCGGCAATCCCAGCACTCAATGGGTGAGGCAGGAAAATCACCATGGGTTCGAGCGAGCCTGGAGTACATAGCAAGACCCTGTCTCAAAACAAACAAACGAACAAGAACAACAACAAAAAACCCCAAACAACCCACACCAAAAAGAAACCCCAAAGCGTAATACATCTTAATCCTCCAGTTTTACATAATACATCTTTTTTTCTCATTTGTTACCAGGGATGAACTCATGACCTTGAGTTTGCCAGGCAGGCGCTTATGCCACTGAACTAAATCCCTGCCCTCCCCCACTTTTTTTTTTTTTTTTTTTTTTTTCCTCCCCCACTTTTTGAGACAGGTTCTCTATGCAGTTCAGGCTGGCCTTGAGCTCACTTTGTAGCCCAGGCTGGTCTCAACCTCCCAACGATCCTCCCGCCTCAGCCTCCTGAGTGCTGGGATTATAGATGTGAGCCACCATGCCTGGCTCAACATAATACATTTTAATTCTATCTCCATTCACCAGTTTTCCTAATGATGTATATTAGAGGTTTTATAAGGTCAGTACAAATTTTTCTTCCTCGTTAGTTGATACACCTGCTTGGTATTTCATTGAATTGACATAATTTTTTGGCATTTCTCTGATGGCCATCTAAATTGTTTCTAGGGCCAAGGATATAGCTTGGCAGCACAGTGCCTGCCTGGCAAGAGCAAGAACCTGTGTTTGATTACTGATACCCCCCAAAAAATTATTTCCAATTTTTTTCTTTATGAATAATGTTGCAATATATGATATCTTTTCATTCATCCTTAGAGGTCTACTTTAAACAATTTTGGGACTGACTCCCTCAGGTAGTCACCTTTCTGATGTTAGTTTTACTAAATATTATGCTCTTGTTGCCATTTTTTCTCTTCTTTTTAGAAAAAATTCTAAGTTTCTAGAAAAGTTGAAATAATATTTTGATTCCTTTGAAAAATGATATTTTGTCTCATCTGTGTCTCTCTGTTTCTCTTCTTTTTTCTAACTAATTTCACTTCCCAGGGGTTGGTGCCATCTATATCCGCCGCCGTCCCCGAGTGCGTGTGGAGCCCCTGCAGAGCGGAGGGGGGCAGGAGCGGGGTATGCGGTCTGGGACAGTGCCCACACCCTTGGTGGTGGGGCTGGGGGCTGCGTGTGAGGTGGCACAACAAGAGATGGAGGTATGGGGAGAACTTTCCCCTACTATTTCTTCCCCTGTGCTGGGTCTACTGTTTAATGGTGTCCCAAGATGGCTAAGTCAGAGCTCTGCTGGAAGAGATTTAAGAAAATCCTGTCCTATCCAGATTCTTCAGTCCCGTTGTTCTGAGGGAGGTGTTACTGGGCTCCAAAACCCAGGGCCCAGGAGTAGTTACCAGCTGATTTGTTTCTGGGTTGTTGGAGGTCTGTTACTGAGTAGCTTTCACACGATGGCACTGTATTCAGAGCTGGGTATACTGTGGTCTTCATGAGTAACGAAGGTTGATAGGTGAGTTTGATGTACAGTCACTCCTGGATAGAAGAGAGGGCTCCTAGAACTATGGGTTTTCTCAGGTGATTGGTAGTCATGGTGCTTAGTCAGCCCCTGCCTATTCCTTAGTATGACCACAAGCGGATCTCACAGTTAGCAGAGCGGCTAACACAGAACATAATGAAGAGCCTTCCCGATGTGGTGATGAATGGGGACCCTGAACACCACTACCCTGGTATGGACTTGGCTTTTCGTCCCCCTTCTGGATGAGACTAAGATTCTGAAAGTCCTCTCATTGAGTGGCCTTCTCTATTTTAGGGTGTATCAATCTCTCCTTTGCATATGTGGAAGGGGAGAGTCTGCTGATGGCACTCAAGGATGTTGCTTTGTCCTCAGGGAGGTGAGTTGGGCCATACAAATAGGTACTGTGGCAGGGTCATTAAACCTGGCTTCTAAGTTCCACACAGGTTACTAAACTTCCTGGTATGGAGAAGATAAGCACAAGAGTTCTTGATTCATGACAGAGATCATCTTTTTTATCTGGTTAGGCACTGGCTGAAGTTTATCACCCTAGCAGAGGTGCCTGGGGATGAATTTTTTGCCTTTTATAGCCCCAGAGGTATATGTATCTCTTCTAGAATTACATTAGCAGTTTTATTCTCTTTTTTGAGACAGGGTCTCATTATTCAGTTCAGGCTGGCCTTGAGCTCACTTTGTAGCCCAGGCTGGTCTTGAACTTAAAACGATCCTCATGCCTCAGCTCCTGAGTACTGGGGTTATAGGTATGAGCCACCATGCCCAGCGTAGCAGTTCTATTGTAGGTCTCCAGAATTGAAGATGTTCAGAGGCCACCAGTGGTTTAGATGCCCTCTAAGCTGGTACAGAGAGTATCTTCTTGTTCCAGGGGAGTGAGCACAAAGTTCTCTGCTGCCTCTTCCTGTGAGATCCAGCCCTGGGCTATTATGTTCTGTTATGCGCTGGCAGAGAAGCTAGCTTCAAGTCCTAGTATGTGTAGGCAGTGTTGGGCCCTTTGGAGTGCTAGATCAGGTGTCTGTTGTTGTCCCTGTTGTGTGACTCCATGGCCCTGGGGGAAGGGAGCAAGAACTGAGGATTTGTGGCTTGAAGCAGATGTTGATGATGAACTGTCTCTTTCCTCAGTGCTTGTACTTCTGCATCTCTGGAGCCCTCTTATGTCCTTAGAGCAATTGGCACTGATGAGGATTTAGCACACTCTTCTATCAGGTTAGTGAATTGAGCAGCATCATTTATTATTAAAGGCTTTGTGTGTGTGTGTGTGTGTGTGTGTGTGTGTGTCTGGACTGAATCCAGAGCCTCACCCATGCTAGCCACGTTTGTTGCCACTGACATATATTCTCAAGCCAAAAAGCATCCTTCTTATTGTTCATTTCATGTTACCATCTTTCTGAATCTGTTTTTCTCTGTCCTTTCTATTTTTTGGTGCTGGGGATTGAGTCTAGGGCCTTGTAGATGCCAAGCATGTGCCCTTTCATTGCGATATACCTCCAGCCTTTCCTTATCTCTTGTTTCTAGAGCAGAGATTCTCAAACTTCACTGAACATCAGTCATCTGGGAAGTTTATAAAAGATGTCAGTTTCTGAGTCCCATATGCAGATATTCTCCTTTGCTATGTCAGCAGGGAGTAGTAGGAAATTTCTTAGGTGATTCTAATATGTCAATTAACAGTCAGAACCCTGGAAGAGTAGGTCTGTGTTCTTGTCTGCTTGACTTTATAGATTAAATCTTCAGTGGATTCTGACCAGATAAATTTACCCCAGTGCTACCTCTGATAGAGAGTTCTTCCCCTGTACCCTCCTCAGGTTTGGCATTGGCCGCTTCACAACTGAGGAAGAAGTGGACTACACTGTGGAGAAATGTGTTCAGCATGTGAAGCGTCTTCGAGAAATGAGGTATGCATTATTGGAAGAAACTAGTCCTGGTCCTTCTCTTAGCCTTAGGCTGTGTGTTCACATTGCTGGAAACCAACGTTTGAAGTACTTAGGTTTAAGAATTCAGAATTCTAAATCATAAAGAGAAGAAAGGCAAGAAAGTAAATATTCTTCTTCTTCTTTTTTGGTTCTGGGAATTGAACTCAGGACCTCGTGCTTGCCAGGCAGGCGCTTGTTTGTGCTACTAAGCCAGGTCCCTGGCCCAAAGTGAATATTCTTGACCAATTTTTTTTCCCTAGAATATTAAAAGTATTTTTAAACTTAAAGAAGGGTATTAATGCAGGTAATTTTTTTTTTTTTTCCTTTGTGGTACAGGGTCTTTTACATGCTAGTCAAGAGCTACCATTGGACCACTTCCCACCCACCATTTTTATTTTTACTTTGAAACAGAGTCTAGGTTGTTCAGATTAAACTTGTACTTGTGATCTTCCTCCCTAGGCCTTCCAAATAGCTGGGTTCTGTGGCCAAACTTTAGAGAAATTGTATGATAAATATAAGATTGTGCATGCTCCTTAGAGACTTTTTTTTTTTGGTTTTGAGAAGAGGTCTTATTGTGTAGCTCAGACTGGCTTTGAACTCAATGTATAGTCTAGGCTGAATGCAGGAATCATTAAGCATGTACCACATGCTTTCTGTGAGAGTCCTAAAAGATTAGGAGTTACTACTTAGTGGTGTTTGTACAGTCAACAATTTCGTAGGATATGGTCTTGCTCACCTGTAAGTTTAGCACTCTGAGAGGTTGAGGCAGGAGGAGCACAAATTTAGAGTTAAGATAAGGCAACTAAGAGACTTAGCGAGACCTGTCACAAAACAAAAAATAAAAAGGGGCTGGAGATATAGCTCTGTGCAAATACTAAGGTTATAATCCCTGTATAGGAGGGAAAAAGGCAAGAGCTTGTTTACTATTTAGGTGCTACTAGGGCTTCCCCAAATAATCATAGGTCTCAACTTTCTAATGGGTACATTGAGGCCTCTGGATATTTTTCAAAGCTTGACTATTATTGGTCCAGTTGACTTTCAGGATTCCCTTGGTCACTTGGTAGAGTAAGAAAGTTCAAGTATGCACCTTGTTTCCCTTTGTGAGATATCCCCTTTCTGTGTTCTGGATTTTCCTTGAAAGGTATAGCTATATTGTTTAACCATCTGCAGCTTGCTTAGGGTTCTTGGGCTCTAGAGTCTTCCATTGGCGTTGCTTTCTGGTACAGTAAAAGGGCATTTCTACTGACAGTGCTTTCTTACTCTTCCTGTGTGTCTTCAGTGGCCATATCCTTTTCCTTATGATCTTTTACAAACTGAATTCAGCCTGATCCCAATTAAACTTCACTAGAGCCTTATTTTGTGATCCTATTTGGGACAAAAAAGAGATTGCTAACTGTATTGAGTCAAGGAAAATCTCATAAATAGAAAGATGTGCTGGACTGGGCATGGTGGCACATGCCTGTATCCTAACTATGCAGGAGGCCAAGACAGGGGGATCACAAGTTCAAGGTCAGCCTGGGGAAAAGAGCAGAGACTCTGTCTCAAAATTAAAAAATAGAAAAGCAGTTGGAGATACAGCTTAGCACTTCCTGGGCTCACAGCCCACCACCACCAAAACAACCAACTAAACCAACAAAAACCAAAATCAAACAAAGAAACAGAATCCCCAGAAACTAAACCAAAACAAAAACAGAAAGGCAGGCTGGGACTGCAGAATATAATAGTATGGAATAATCAAGAGTAGAATTAAGTTGGGACAGGAAGGTCACAAGTTCAAACCCAGGCTGGTCAATTTAACAAGACCTTGTCTCAAAATTATAGAAAGACAGAGACAGTGAAGGAGAGAAATAAAAGAGAGAGCTTATGACTATTCCTAAAATTCATTCACTCAAGGTCCCATTACAGCTGAGTATAGGGTATCTAGTTAATTTTCTTTATTGCAGTTGGGGAGAGGCTAGAACTGACCAGGATTTAAAGGCAGCTGGTATTCATTAGCCACCTGTGTTAGGATCCACTAGGACAGAAGACAGAGATGAGACAGAAGGAGACCAGTTATTGCTCAGGGCATTGAAGCCAGTGTTGGTTGCCTCCTATCAAAACCTCACTCACTATATGCTGTTTTTCTTTGGCAGTCCTCTCTGGGAGATGGTGCAGGATGGCATTGACCTCAAGAGCATCAAGTGGACTCAACACTAGAAGAATATGCCGCTGACTCTGTGCTGGTCTGACTCTTTTCTTTCTCACTGACCCATGCACACTGAATAGTTTATATCCAGGGTGTGCTCTGTGGTCAAACTGAAATTGCTGTATCCCCATTAACTTTAGCACAGCCCACTTCCAAGTCCAAAACAAAAGAAAATATCTTTCTGCAGCCTTCACGACTTTGTTGAGGGTATATATCCATTTCTCTTCAAGAGTGCTGCTCTGGTCTTATAGTGTGTAGTCGTTTCCATCCTGAAGCAGTAGAGACATTTGCTATAATATTACTGCTGGACATCTCTGTGACTTTTGTGCAGATCAAAGAAGAACTAAAAGAAGGCTGTTTGTTCAGGGACTCTGATGTTCTATGTGCACATTTGAATCACTTTCTGCTGCTCAGCTGGACTGGCTCCTTGAGCAACAAGAATAATCAACTTCTTTAATTTTGTGTGTGTGTATTTGGTTCCAAAAGACATCTCTTTATATTGTCTATAGACGAAACAGCAAGTTTCTTAGAAGGCTTACAGTGGACCCTCAAGTTATGACTGGCTCGACATACAGACAGCTTGAGTTATGGCTGGAATTTTAGTTTTAATTTCCTTTATGACCGAAGTCTTGAGTTATGACCTGAATGCTGGCTACTTGTGCTTCCAGACGGTCTCAGATGTAGATTCACCCTAAAGGAGTTCTGGAAGGAACATTATAACATTGTTTCTTTTATGGAGTTCCTTCAGAAATCTTGGGCCAGAGTCTCTCTCTAAGGACACCAACATCTGCTTGTATGCAGGAGAGAGATTTGAAGACTATGTTGAGTCTGAGCCTTCAGCTGACAACCTGAGTTATAATCAGCTCTTGGGAACGAATTGAGTTTATAAGTCAAGGGTCCACAGTATCTCCTTTACTGTTCTCATCTTCCTTTTTTTCTTTTAATAGAGCTAAAAATATCTGTATGACTATTATTCTAATAATTTATGTTTCTTTGAAATTTGTTAATTTGGAGATTGGAGAAATAAACTTGATCTTCTGTTTTACTGTTTCTGTATAAGAATCAGAAGAAGTTGACACTGCTGCATGTGTTGACCACTTTTCTCTCATTGCTGAGATAAAATACTTGATGCCCAAAATGAAGAAAGGAAAGCTTTTTTTAGCTTACAGTTTGTGGAGGTCTCAGTCCATGTTCAGCCGGCTCCAAGGCAGGGTGGCATGGCTAACAGGCACTCATGGTAGCTGTAAGCAACAGAAGTGAAAGGGCAAAAGCGGGGAGCAAGCCGCTTTGCTTCCTTTATATTATATGCCAGCTACCCTCTCCTGGGTGGGTGCAACACTCATTCTGCCAATCCCTGTGCTAGAAAATGAATCCATCACAAGCACTAGATTCAGCTGTCTTCATGATTGCACAAGGCTTTGGAGTGACATCCAAACACAAACCATAACACTGCACTTGAGAATTGTGAGGAAGACAACCTGATTTCCATGGATGATTTGCTTAATTTGCATCTCTCTTCATTCAACAATTATTTACTCAACAATTATTTAAATACCTGTCAGGACCCAGACTTTATTCTGTGTATTAGGGGAGACACCAGTTAATAGGAACAAAAAACACCCCTGTTATTGTGTTTTCATACTAATGGAGAGCTATAAAATAAGAAAGGCTATTATAGGTTGTGACAAGTGCTATAAATCAAGTAAACATTAGGGAGAAGCTGTAGTGCTGAATCTTCTAGCAAAGCTTTTCTGAGCAAGTGATGCTGAAGCAAAAATGTATTCAGTGATAGCTGGTCAACAGATGAGTAAGGGATAAGAGGAAACAGCTTGGCATGTGAAGTACAGTGCGTTTGAGAAACCAAGAAAAAGCCAGTGGAAATACAGTCGTTTTTCCATTTGTGGGCCTGAACACATACGTAGTTGGTTATAAGAGAAGAAATGTTACGGGTCCAGAGCTGGGTATGGTGGTACGCACCTGTATTCCTAGCATTTGGAAGGCTGAGGCAGGAGAATGGGCATGAGTCCGAGGCCCATGCAAATAACATAGCGAGACTGTCTCAACCTACACCCTACCAAAAAAAAAAAAAAAAAAAGTTCATATTGAACATCTATCAGGTTGGGATTTATAGTTCCCTTATATGATTTGAAGGTCCTATATCATCCCTATGTCATTAGGACAGATGATATTTGCTAGTGTGACTCTTTTGTTTTTTCCTCCCTCCCTTCCTTTTTTTTTTGTGGTTCTAGAGACTGAACATAGGGTCTCACACATGCTAGGTGAGAGCTCCACCACTAAGCTACACACTTAGCTCTTTTAATTTTAGTTTATTTTTTGTGATAGTGGGAATTGAGCCCAGGGATTTTACACTGAGCTATATCCTCAGACCATTTCTGTTTTTTTTATTTTCAGACAGTTTCACCAAATTGTTAAGTTGCCCAGGCCGAGCCTCAATATGTGATCCTCCTGCCTCAGCCTCCCAGAGTGCTGGGATTACAGGTGTATGCCACCACATGTGGACCCCTCTTAAATTTTTTTTTTTTTTAGTTTTGGGGATCAAATTCTCAACCTCATGACCTCATGCTTGCCAGGCACTTATGTCACTGAGCTAAATCCCCGGCCAAAATTTTTATTTTGAGGTCGGATCTCACTGAGTTGCTTAGGCTGAACTCCAGCTTGTACCCTCCTGCTTCAGCCTCCCATGGAAGTAGAATTACAGGCATGGGTGCAGTGTCTGTGTCGCTTGTTTTTGACAAGCTAATAACCTTCTGGATTTTTATTTTTATTTTTTGTCTTTTTGAGGCAGAGTTTCACTATGCAGTTCAGGCTGGCTTTCAGCTTACTTTGTAGCCCGAGCTGGTCTTAAACTCATCATGATCCTCCTGCCTTAGCTTCCTGAGTGCTGGCATTACAGCCTGGCTAAATTTTCTTTTAAAAAAAATTTTATTGTGGATATTTAAAAACATAAAAGCACGGGGACTGGGGATTTAGCTCAACAGCATAAGTACCTGGCTTGCAAGCAGGCGGTCGCGAGTTCGATCCCGGATACCGATAAAAATGAAAAAGACAAAAAACAAAACAAAAAACCATAAAAGCACGCAGCATAAGATAGTGATTTCCCTGGTGCCCATTTGCCCCCCTCCAACCATTATTCTCCCAGAGCCCAATCTGGTTTTATTTACACCGCAAATGCTTCCTCCACTCCCTGTGTTACTTTGAAGAAAATCCCAAGCATGTGGGTTGCTTTTAAGATACTTTATCTGGTCAAGTCCTGCTGGCCTGAGAACCAATTTCTCTGGAGACTTTGTAACTGCCCGGATCTGAGAGCGATCCCTTAGCAGCGATGCCTGAGCTCTCGGGGACCCCGGTGCTCTGGCAGCGGTAAGCCGCTGTCATCGGGCAGAGAATTTGCCCTTGCGCCTCTTCTGAGCTAGGCGGCCACGTCCTTCCTGAGCGTCCCTTGATGGATGCGCTGCAAAGCAGGACGCCAGGTTTTGTGTGTCGCGATCAGGATCCGGGGCCCGGGAGCGGGGTTCAAGAGCTTCGCGAGCCCTGTCCGCTGACGCTGGACAAACTAGCGGCGGGGACAGTTTGAGAACAGCACGGGCTCCGTCTCCTGCCAGCCCTCTCTGCTCCCCGGTCACTGCGCGAGGCTGGACGCGGGTGTCCCGCGGCTGCTGTGCCGGGATCCTCAAGGCTTCCGGGTCTTGGAGACATTTTCTCCATCTGCCGCGGGGAGGACGCGGATCGAAGAATTTAAAAGAAACTCGGAAGCCGCCAGCCCAAACAGTGTAAGAGCAAGTCCTCACCGCGAGAGGGCGCTGGACCACGAAGAAACTCGGAGCCTTTCTGCTTCACATCAGTCCTGTGAAGCGAGTCTGTCCTGCCTTTTTGGCGCTGGGATGGAACCCAGGACCTTACACAGCAGGTAAGCACTCTCCATGGAGCCGCCCCCAGCCTGGAGCAAGTCGTCTTATCTGGATATTTTGACAGCGCCATCCCACGTAGGCACCCCAGGACCCAGCTGAGTTCATTACAAACCCTTTATCCTTTTTTTTTTCTTTTTGTCTTTTTGAGACAGGGTCTCTCTATGCAGTTCAGGCTGGCCTTGAGCTCACTTTGTAGCCCAGGTCTTCCCGAACTCGCAAGGATCCTCCTGCCTCAGTCTCCCAAGTGCTGGGATTACAGGCATGAGCTACCACGTACAGTACAAACCCTTTATCTTTTAATATGGAAACAAGGTCTTACTACTAACTAGGTTGACCTCAAACTTGGGATCATTCTGCCTCAGCGTCCCATGAAGCTAAGATGACAGTTGCATTCCATGAGACTTGATTTCACAGTCCTTTCACAGGCAGGCGATGGGAATGGATTCAGGTGAACTAGTACTCTTCCTTTCCTGAAGGGCCTGGCGCTTCCCGCACCACCTCAGTAACATGGCTGCCTCTCTCTGGGACAGTGTGTTGTCCACACAGTCGTGGCAGTGGTGATTGTCCTGAGTTTGCCTCCCAGCACCTGAGTCATAACACAGCCTGCTTGCTCATCAGAGGGCCTGGCCCTGTATCTCAGCAAATGCTTTTGTTTTTGCCTTAAAGACACATCCTACTTCAGCCAAGGTAAGGCACCACGGCCCTCTGTTTGGTCACCTACATCTGGGGCTCCCCTCTGCCCTGGGTCCCACCCCACATGTTATGCTTTGTGTCTAGATGTTCCCTCAAAGCTTCATGCAGTTCTAGATGGGGCTTTTTCAGAGGTAGATCAACCTAGAGAGTGTGATTAAATCATGGTTTAATACTGAGATTAAGGGTGAGTGATTGTTGAATCAATTCACTGATGGAATTGCCTTTATCTCAGCAGTCTGGGTAAAGTAAAAGGGGCATGGGGGCTGGGGATTTAGCTCAGCAGCATAAGCGCCTGCCTTGCAAGCAGGCAGTTGTGAGTGCGACCCCCGGTACCGATAAAAAGGAAAACAAGCAAAAAAAAAAGGGGGGGGGAGAGCTTTTTTGGTGTGGTACTGGGAATTAGACTCAGGAGCTCATGCTTGCCAGGCAGGTGTGCGCCACTGAGCTAAATCTCCAGGTCTAAAAGACTGTTCCTGTTCACTTTCTTCACTTGCTGTCTTCCACCACCACCAGGAACTGCCCCCTCTACTGCTGCCTAGGAGCCAGTCAGTTATGGACTGAAACATCTACAAACTGTGAGTTAAATAAACCTTTCCTCCTTTAAAACAAAACTATACTACATTTGTTAAAACAATGTTGATAGCGTATTATGAAATTTGAAATTTTTTTCAGATTTCTAATAATGGATTTTCTTTTTTCCAAAGCCAATCCTGGATACCATATTACATTTAGTAGTATTTTTAAAATGAACTCTATTATACCTATAAAATATATTTATTTATTTTATATATATATATTTTTGAGACAGGGTCTCTATGTAGTTCAGGTTGGCCTTGAACTCCCTTTGTAGCCTAGGCTGGTCTCAAACTCACAAGGATCCTCCTGCCTCAGCCTCCCAAGTGCTGGGATTACAGGCATGAACCACCACGCCCACCTACCTATAAAGTATAAAATGTAGATTTAAAAAATTTTTTTTTCAATTGTAGGTTTGATTTAAAAATGGGGTTTGTTTCTTCAGTTTGCTGTTTTGGGAATTCTGGGCTAGCACCACTCAAATCTTTCCGTACAAATCTTCCCAAAATTTGTTAAGAGTTGCGATTTTAGCCCTCATTTAGAGCTAAGTCCTTTTTGATTTGGAAGATGAAGTCGAACTGAAGGAGCATTTAGGACACAAACATGGAATATGTAGTTTCTTCAGTAACAAAATAATAGTGTGGCCGGGGGTTTAACTCAGCAGCCAAGTGCAAGGTCGTGAATTCGACTTCTGGTACTAAAATAATAATAATAATAATACATGCAGCTATGTTGGGTTTAGTGTGGATAAGTCTCACTAGATTGAAATTTTTAAAGGGAAAAACCAACTTTTGGCTGAGAGGACTTTTCAGCGAACTAGCCTCTACTTTGTGGTCCACTTCACTTCAAAACAGTTCTGCAAGATAGGCACTATTACCTTCCTTTCGCAATGGCGCCAAAAAGTGAAGTACTCTGCACAAAATCTAGCAGTAAAGTGCCGAGGCATCCCAACCATCCAGCCTAAGCCTAAACTAGGCGCCACTCCATCTTAAACACCTTAACTTCCGGGAGGCCGCCCGAGAGCGTTGGCGCGCGTGCGCTGCCCCGCCCCGTGACGATTTCGCCGTCCCGCCCCCTCTGGAACGCGGAGCGGCTGAGCGGGCTGGCGGCCATTTTGTGAAGCGGCGAAGGAGGTGGTCGCTGCGCTGGGCTCCAGGAAGCCGTTCGGGCTGGGGCTGTCGGCCGCGGGGCAGAGGCACTCGCGCGGGGGGTAACTCGGGTCTGGGTTCTGGTGACGCGCAAGCTCTCCCCGGTAAGACTCCCGCAGCCCCTGAACGGGCGGGGCTGTGCGGGGCTCGAGCCGCCCATAGGTGCCCCGGGGCGGGGCCTTTGGAGGCCTCTGAGCCCGCCGCAGCGAGCGCCCCACACAAAGGGTCGGGGCAAACTGCGACGGTCTTGGGGTGCCACCTGCTCCTCTGTGGCCTCGGAGGATACCGGGAGAATGCCAGAGGATGAGCCTACATACCGATGTGGAGACGAGACCTTGGCGAGGACCTTGAAGTGGGCTGAGATAGGGAGGCGGCCGGAGCTGGGTGGCCCAGCGGCCCCGAGTTAACGGGAACTGCAGTGAGAACACACCCACGTAGCTCCCGCGGCCGACTTCCTCTGGCTCCAAATGGGGCAGAGGGTTCTGCCTACGCCTCTGCCTCGAAGCGGGAAGCCGCCCGTGGGACACCCCCCTACCCGTAGTGGAAAGGAGGCCCCTGTGGCCTTTTAGTAAATAAGGGGTGCAATGAGGACACCCCGAAAGGGATGCACCCCCGGCGCCCCGGGTTGTGAGTGCAGGAAGTCGGTCTTGGAGCTGGCCGCCTCGGGGTCTAAGGTGGAGGGCTGTGGAGCTGCTAGGCCAGCGCTGGAGGGCTTTATTCAGGACGCAGCCCGCTGGGAGCCGGTGCCTTGTGAGGAGCGGCTGGCGTTGGAGGTGGAGTGTGGGTGGCTTTGATGGCTAGTGGTGTTTCTCTGAAGCTTGGTGGCGCAGGTTTGCAGCCACGTGAAACGGATGGGAGGATCTCTGAGTATCCACAGGTTCGCGATGGAGGTGGGCTCGCATGGAGCGTACTTAGCTGGGACCGTGTGGTCTGTGTGCCTCCAGGGAGTGCATAATAGTGAAAAATGTGAGGGGCTACGGCCTGGGCCACTCGACTTTAGTGCTAAGCATTCATTCAGCTAGGTAGTATATATTGAGAATTTTAGGCTGCTGTAGAGGTTTCTAGATCTTTAAAACCCTCGTTGGTTCTGGTATTCCCAGAGATGACCCACAGTAAATGGGGTAGTTGGTTGGAAGTATTTTGCATTATTTAAAATTAGGGTAATGTCTGTTAATACAATTGAGAAAAAGGCGACAGAAGATTGTTGAAGGAAAAGGTTGCGATTGGAGTATTTCTGTGAGGTGATTGCTTGAATAGTTGGAAATGGTGTAAATTTTGCAAAATGCAGTCTTAGCAACAAGAATTGCCCGGGACCTTGTTAATGTATTTCAAAGCATGTACAGTTGGAAAAACAAATCTTAAGTCTGGACATGTAGAGAAATTTTGTTTGTGTGGTTGTTTGGAGTTATAGAAATTAAAACAAGACGGTTGCACTTGTTCTTGAAGTTTTGTTTTGATAGAATGGATGGTTTTGGTGTTTACCTAACGGAAAGTATTCCGTATCAGGCATTTTTCTAAGATTGTGGTGGTTCACGTAAACTCACTACAATTTTTGAAGGAAATGAAATGTTTGTGTGTTTGATGTGTTTAGTATGTATCACTGGACAGCTTTTTTTTTTTTTTTTAACCAAAACGGAATGATTTTTGTTACTTTCTTATGTTCGATTAAATGTTGACTACTTTGTACATGGGGTGTGATACATAATTTCAAGTTTTCTTACGTTCAGGTATTTCAGGTGAAATATGTGCCGCTTTAGAAACTATCGTGGTAGATACTTTTATATGCTATTTACTACTGGTATTCTTCAGGCTTCTTTAACTTTATTTGAAATGTCAGATTTTTTCTTACGGAGAATTTGGGTTGTTGATACCATTTTTAGGTGTAAAACTTGATTTTGTGGGCCATTGTGTACCAGATGCTAGAATCTAGTGACGTATTGGTATTTTTATTCCATTCACAGAGCCATACATCATTCAGTTGGACGAACATTTTCTTTTGTAGGTGTTGTAGGAAAAACTTAGTAATTTGTTGCACGAAAGACGTTTTTAAGATATTCCTCCCTAAAATCTGACTTGTTGTCTAGTTTAATATCTTAATGTTTGGTCCACAAGAGGTTAATATTCATGGAAATGAATATTGCTAAATGTTTTAGGTCAACTAAATGGAAAAATTATTTCATTGGAATTGAAGTTTTACCAAATTTACTGTAATCTGTATACCCTTTGGTTTGCCAAGGTATAATTTAAATTTAAATTTAAAGTCAGCTTGTCTTAAAAATCATAGATGTGGTTGGTTAAGTTAGTAATTTTTCTTTGAAGTGTAAATGAAATAAGATAATGACCATTTTGTTGCTGTTTGGGGAGGTAAAAAATAATATTGAAGTCTTTTTGGCAGGAAGAGTATCTTAGAAATGTCTTTTGACTTACTGCTTTGAGTAAATATGGAATGGAAAGTTAATGAGAAAACTGTGCAATGTAATTATACAAGGTATCCATCTCTTAGCATCAGAAAAATTTTTTTCATTTAGAATGATCCTAGAAGCTGACATGTGTTCCATTTGGTGGTGGGAGACAAAAATCAAATGGACAAAGCTGTGGTTGTTTCATTCTGCCTACCTGAATGTGATTATACTTCATTACAGCATTGTGCCCATTCTAATTGATCCTGTGTTGCTCATCATTGAGGTGAACATTTGAGGGGGTTACTAGTTTTTTGCGTCAAGTTCAGCTTACTCCGATTCTTGTTGAATAAAGTTTGGTGACTGAACAAAGAAAAAATTCATTTTGGATGTTTATTATCAGATGAAGAGTGGAAATGGTCAAGTTCTAGTTTGTGTCTTCACTTCTTGATGAAGAAGTTTGTTGTCAGACATTTTATCCTGAAATCCTAAATGATAGGAATGGCTAGTAAATAAAAATGTTTATCCTATCATCATATACTTAGTTTTTAGCACATATTTGTAATTTATACATGCATCTGGTGTTTGTCATGCTGAAGCAAAGTCTGTGTTAGGACATGAAGTGGAAAATATACTAGGTCTTCTGAAGTATATCAATAGATTAATAGCAAAACAAGCCCATTTTCTTCTTGCCTTCCCATACAGGCTATACGTAGGTAAAATATGTATTTTTAGTTGTGTTGTTGTATAGAATTCAGTTTTGTTCTAAAGTTCACCAGTGCTTAAAGGTGAGTGGAGTGGGTTAATTTGGGAGCCTGCATGGTTGTTCACATTTGTTTTAGCATGTAGTACTGAGCAGATTCCTAGAAAATATTGTTGTTTGTTAAATTAGTGTTGAAACAAAAAGTACAGTATTCTCAGTTCTGTTTCTGTTTACCCTTTTTCTTCTGAAGGAAGAGATCTAACACCAAAGATTGTGAATTTCTGGCTTTTGGCTTTCACTTACTGCATACTTGATTTGGGTGGTATTGGGTTTCCCCTTTGTAGACATAAAAGCACAAATCTGTGTCTGGATTGATTTTTGTGCTGTTAGTTGAATACAAAATAGAGCTACACATTTGCCAGATGCAGCTTGGTTTTTAACACTTTGTGGATAAGAATTTTCCTCTTAGTTTTTAGAAGCCATTTCTGGCAATCTTGTAGAAATTTTTGAGTGTATTTAATGAATGCCCTTTGGATTTAACTGGCCAATCCTTTGTTTTTCAGCTGCCTTCTTGGGTCTGAAAGAAAAGAGGCTGAGAAAACTGTTTTCATCTTTCATGGCATATATGCCCATTCCAGACCTTTTTAAATGAGAATTTGAGAATCGAATGGGATCAGATGTTTATCACAAGTACTTACCTAGAAAACTACCTTGGTTCTGTAGCTTCTAAAATTAATCTTGTACATTTAGAAATAAATATTGCAGCCGGGCCTGGTAGGGCATGCCTGTAATCCCAGCATTTAGGCAGCTGAAGTAGGAAGAATGCTGTGAGTTGAAGGCCAACCTGAACTACTGTCTCAAAACAAAGATAAATATTTCAGTAATTCATGCCCTTCTTCACAGTTGTATTTGAAGGATTTTTTCAGTTTCATATGTCCTTTTGTGACCAGTTACATAAACTGCTGGATGTGACTTTTTGAATGAATTTTTACCTTCTACAGACCTAATTAGGATAGATTTCTACATATCAAAGATTAATACAGTGCTCTGGACTTTGGAAAGCATCTTCATAACATTTGCATAGCTTTCTGTGGCAAAAGAGTTTCGCTATTGTGTAGTAGCTTGAGTAGTTGCCTAAAACATGTTTGGTTTCTTCAGACAAGTTTGAATAACACTTATGATTTTTGAAATTTTACTTTTTGGTGATGAATGTTGAACTCACTAGTTGGTGCCTTAATTTTGAAAGTATTAATTAAAAATGAACATCATTCACATGAGTAGTCTGTTAATACTAAATAATGGAATTTCTTTCTCTGAATTTAAAAAAGAAAATGACCTTTTGAATGTAATTGTTTCATTTGGTCACATATATTGCTGATGAACTGTTCTAATTTCTGGTGAAAGTTGAAGGACCTGTTTTTACTTTGGGAAATATTTTTTAAGATGCCTGACACTTGAAGGCAATTTTTAAATGAACTTTTTGGAACTGTTGTGGTGTTAGAACTTTTCCTTAATATGTTGAACAGCTGTGAAATTAGTTCATATAGTCAGAATTTTCACTTCATTTATGTTTTTGTGATATTTGATGGTATTTTGGTGTAAAGGAAAATACATAGAAAAAGAAACTGCTGTAGTTTCTATGAGAACCCTTGAAGATTTAATGTGTTCAGGAGTTGTTTTTGTGTGAACTAGTTCCTTTACGCCAAAAGTTTGGTGGGAGATAGGTACAGATTGGACTTTTCTGTATTAGTTTATTCAAGTGATAAAAGCAACCAGCTAGGAAGCTAAAATTTATGACTTTTTGAATTTTCAATTGATTCATTCTTGGGCTATTTTGTGACTCTTGATACATTTAAATATATACATACTTTGAGAGACTAACCTGCAAAGGCAATATTAGGTTAATTAGTCATGTGTGGGATTTTGGTATATGTGGTTTTTTTAAAAATATGCATTCTAATGAAATATTCTGGTGGTTTCAGACTCGCCTTCATAATGTACAGTCAGTGTGGCCTGTGCGTGTTGTTTTGTGTTTCCTGCATTGATTTTTGCCTCCGTTTATTCTCTATTGCAGTCTAAAAGTTGGTTTTAATTGGTTGCCCACAGGATTGACTTGGCCTCTACTTCTTGTTAAGAAAATACATCTCTTGTTTTATCAGGTAAGAGATTTTGAATAGAGGGTTTGTTTAATACAAAATAAAATGAGATGGCTTTTTAAGAAACATGAAAGTATGTGTAGTAGTAATACATTGTGTGTGTTGACAAGCTTGTGGGGGTGGTGGTGAATGGACACTTGCTTGGTTCAAAGGATTAGTTTTATATGGCTACATTTCTTATTGTTAGATAGTAAGAAGGTAGCTGTTCTTTTTCTCAGTAGCATTACAGAGGAATTAAAACTACAAGTGTTTGTTATTTGTATTGTTATTTATAATTTTTTTTTTCGTTATTTATAATTTATGGAAGTACAGTTATAAATCTTGTATTATAAGTTTTAGAGTACAAATTTTAGATTTTAGATGAAATTTGAGCAATTGAATATAACTTTCTTGTTTAAGTAAGTTAGACTCAAGATAGGTTGAAATGACTTGTGTCTCAAGTAGGTACTTAATAGCGAAATGTCACATTTTTTGACTTAGTCTTGTGCTATGATTTGATTTAATTTTTAGCCCTTTTTTAATTGGTAATATGAGGCAGATTTTCAGTGGCATGTTTTCATGTGTACCTTGTACAGACTTTCATTAAATCTTTTAGCAGAAAAATGTCTTAACAATTTAACTATGTATGTTATTTAGCCTTTTGTTTAATTTTTGTGTTCTTGAGACCATATGCAATTCTCATTTTATTCTGTAAGTGCAAGCTAACATATCCCTCTCAGATAGTTTTGGGTGGTTGGGTTGTTTCTATTACTTGAACAGTAATGCAGTCTCAATTTTTCACATAGTCACATTGTAGATGCAAGGAATGCAAATTTGGTGTAATTTAGTAAAAGAGAGAAAGTCTGATGGTGTGGTTTTTAGTGTTAATTTTTTCTTGTTGATTCTTGCAATTCACAATCAAAAGCTTTACTTACTTTCCCCAAATTTCTAGTGTTTTATAGTAGTCTCACAAAGAATATTTTCTGTTTTCTCTTTCTGGATTAAATTTTAGAATAGTTTTTATATTTTGTATAAACACATGAAAAAAACCCATGAAGCCCAAAAAGTGTATTTTCTTCTCTTTCTTTCCTTTTTTTTTTTTTTTTTGAGACAAGGTTTCACTGTGTTTCCCATGCTGGCCTTGAACTCATGAGTCTCCTGCCAGAGCCTCTGAAGTAGCTGGGATTACAGATACATGCCACTGCGCTCAGCTTATTTCTGTCTTAAATACAATGGTCATAATACTGAGACAGTTACAGATTTTATTACTTTAAATTAGTGTTAATGTAATACTTGAAAAACTGCTTTCATGAAATTACCTAATTCTCAGAGTATATGGCAGGGAACCTTGCCTTTTGTAATGTTCTTATTTCATAAGTGATGAAACCAGATATCAAATAATAACTTCCCTGATGTCTCAGAGCTAATTTAATAGGTATATTTAAGTTGGTTTATCCCCATTAATTTCAAGTTAATATTTTTCCAGCCATACAAATTTGATTTGTGTCAGTTCACAAGGGTTACCCCTGTTTTTGCTTTTAGAAACTTAGAATTTAAATATTGAAATTTTATTTAAATTTGGGAGAAAGTTTTCTTTTAACCAAACCAAAGTGTATGTTATTAAGGTGATTAGTGAACAACCAGAGATCCCATAGGAGTTTTGTTGAGTCAGAGACTGAAACAATCACTGTGTAAAATTCACACCCTAGTTTTTTGAGAACCAGAACAAAAAGCAACTCATCATTGTCATCTCACCCATAGGAAAAAAATTTTAATGGAGAGTTCATGAATGGATCATTGGATCTCAGGTTTAATTAAAACAGCCACAATCAATGTACTGTAATCGATGTGTACTTTTTAAAGGTATGAATAAGCTGAGCCTGATGTTGCACATTTGGAATCCCAGCTACTTGGGAGGTTGAGGCAGAAGGATAGAGAGTTAAGGCCCACCTGGGCAAAATAAGCCCTGTCTCAAGACAAAACTACTCAAGCTGATGAGTATAGATAATTCAGATTTATTGTTTTAGGACTCATGATCTCATGATACAGTAGCCTTGTTTGTTTGTAAGATGTGTGGTTTTTCTTTTCTTTTTTTGGTACTGGGGATTGAACTAATGAACTCCTGCTTGCCAGATAGTCGCTTAGGCTGCTGAACTAAATCCCTGGCCCTGTGTAGTTTTTCTTAAAAGCTATAAGGCAGTGTGAAGTTTTCAGATGAAGCATGGTATTATTTGAGCTTTGAATCTATTTTAGTGTTATTTGTAATTAATGAGCGTGCCAGTTTTCTGTTTCTGTTGGATTTTGAGAGTGAGCCCTGTAAATGACACTAATAAATTACCAAGTTTATAGGGATATTAACTTTGATAAATTCTCAGCATGATTTTTTTTTCTTAGGGATTGTTAAACTTTGTTTCTTGATTTAACTCACTTCTTTTAAATCTTACTGAAGGCTTAGTGGTCTGAGTGATGTACATGGTGATTTTACTGTTCTACCGTTGTTATTTTCTGAAACTTTTTGAGTTTTGGGACTGAACTTCAAATCATTTCCAGAAGTAATGCCTTTAAAAGTTGAAATTCTCTGCATTTTAGATTATAGTTGGCACTGAATGTTCAACTGTGTTTAGCATATCTAAATTAAAGACATGCTTATTGACAGCTTGAGGGACTGTTTGAGGGTCTATTATGGTAAATGGTCATTCTTGCATCTAAAAATTTGGTGTGATAAACAGGAGTCTGACCTGGCCATTGCCTTTTCTCATCTGCAGGTGTGTGTGGTTTCAGCGCAGCATGGCTGTGGTCATCCGTTTGCAAGGTCTCCCAATTGTGGCGGGGACTATGGACATTCGCCACTTCTTCTCTGGATTGACCATCCCTGATGGGGGCGTGCATATTGTAGGGGGTGAACTGGGTGAGGCTTTCATCGTTTTTGCCACTGATGAAGATGCAAGGCTTGGTATGATGCGCACAGGTGGTACAATTAAAGGGTCAAAAGTAACACTGTTATTGAGTAGTAAAACAGAAATGCAGAATATGATTGAACTGAGTCGTAGGCGTTTTGAAACTGCCAATTTAGATATACCACCAGCAAATGCTAACAGATCAGGACCACCACCTAGCTCAGGAATGAGTGGCAGGGTAAACTTGCCTACAACAGTATCCAACTTTAATAATCCTTCGCCAAGTGTAGTTACTACTACCACTTCTGTTCATGAAAGCAACAAAAATGTACAGACATTTTCTGCGTCCAACGTAGGAACTGCTCCTCCAAATATGGGAACTTCTTTTGGGAGCCCAACGTTCAGCTCTACCATTCCAAGTACAGCCTCTTCAATGAATACAGTCCCTCCACCACCAATTCCTCCAATTCCAGCAATGCCATCTCTGCCACCGATGCCATCCATTCCCCCAATACCAGTTCCTCCTCCAGTACCTACATTGCCTCCAGTTCCACCTGTTCCCCCAATTCCCCCAGTCCCTTCTGTGCCACCCATGACCCCACTGCCACCCATGTCAGGCATGCCACCCTTGAACCCGCCACCGGTGGCACCTCTACCTGCTGGAATGAATGGCTCCGGAGCACCTATAAATCTGAACAATAATCTGAACCCTATGTTTCTGGGTCCATTGAATCCTGTTAATCCTGTCCAGATGAACTCTCAGAGCAGTGTGAAACCACTTCCCATCAATCCTGATGATCTGTATGTCAGTGTGCATGGAATGCCCTTTTCTGCAGTGGAAAATGATGTCAGAGATTTTTTCCATGGGCTCCGTGTTGATGCAGTGCATTTGTTAAAAGATCATGTAGGTCGAAATAATGGGAATGGATTGGTTAAGTTTCTCTCCCCACAAGACACATTTGAAGCTTTGAAACGAAACAGAATGCTGATGATTCAACGTTATGTGGAAGTTGGTCCTGCCACAGAGAGACAGTGGGTAGCTGCTGGAGGCCATATTACTTTTAAGCAAAGTATCGGACCTTCTGGACAAACTCATCCCCCTCCTCAGACACTTCCCAGGTCAAAATCGCCCAGTGGACAGAAAAGGTCAAGGTCAAGATCACCACATGAAGCTGGTTTTTGTGTTTACTTAAAAGGGTTACCATTTGAAGCAGAAAACAAACATGTCATTGATTTTTTTAAAAAGTTGGATATTGTGGAAGATAGTATTTATATAGCTTATGGACCCAATGGGAAAGCAACTGGTGAAGGCTTCGTAGAGTTCAGGAATGAGGCTGACTATAAGGCTGCTCTGTGTCGCCATAAACAGTACATGGGCAATCGCTTTATTCAAGTTCATCCAATTACTAAGAAAGGTATGCTAGAAAAGATAGATACAATTCGGAAAAGACTCCAGAACTTCAGCTATGACCAGAGGGAAATGATACTAAATCCAGAGGGAGATGTCAATTCTGCCAAAGTCTGTGCCCATATAACAAATATTCCATTCAGCATTACCAAGATGGATGTTCTTCAGTTTCTTGAAGGAATCCCAGTGGATGAAAATGCTGTACATGTTCTTGTTGATAACAATGGGCAAGGTCTAGGACAGGCATTGGTTCAGTTTAAAAATGAAGATGATGCACGTAAGTCCGAACACTTACACCGTAAAAAACTTAATGGGAGAGAAGCTTTTGTTCATGTCGTTACCCTAGAAGATATGAGAGAAATTGAAAAAAATCCCCCTGTCCAAGGAAAAAAGGGGTTAAAGATGCCTGTGCCAGGTAATCCTGCAGTACCAGGAATGCCCAACACAGGAATGCCCAACGCAGGAATGCCCAATGCAGGAATGCCCAGTGCAGGAATGCCCAGTGCAGGAATGCCCAATGCAGGAATGCCTGGTACTGGAATGCCCGGTTCAGGGATGCCTGGTGCAGGAGTACCCGGTGCGGGAGTGCCTGGTACAGGTGTGCCTGGTGCGGGAGTACCCGGCGCAGGAGTACCTGGTGCGGGAATGCCTGGTGCGGGAATACCCGGTGCGGGACTGCCTGGTGCCGGAATACCTGGTGCTGGACTTCCCGGTGCGGGAATACCTGGTGCTGGAATACCTGGTGCGGGAATGCCCGCTGCAGGAATACCCACTGCAGGAATGCCAGGTGCAGGAGGTGAAGAGCATGCCTTCCTGACAGTAGGATCAAAGGAGGCCAACAATGGTCCTCCATTTAACTTTCCTGGTAATTTTGGTGGGTCAAATGCTTTTGGGCCACCTCTTCCTCCTCCAGGATTAGGAGGGGCCTTTGGTGATGTGAGGCCTGGTATGCCTTCAGTTAATAACAGTGGTTTGCCTGGTCTAGGATTGGAAGTTCCAGGTTTTGGAGGTGGACCAAATAATTTAAGTGGGCCATCAGGATTTGCAGGGGGCCCTCAGAATTTTGGAAATGGCCCTGCTACCTTAGGTGGCCCCCCTGGCTTTGGAAGTGGCCCTCCTGGTCTTGGAAGTGCCCCAGGGCATTTGAGTGGACCACCAGCCTTTGGCCCTGGCCCTGGCCCTGGCCCTGGCCCTGGCCCTGGCCCAATCCATATTGGTGGTCCCCCTGGCTTTGGGTCTAGTTCTGGAAAACCAGGACCTACTGTAATTAAAGTTCAGAACATGCCCTTCACTGTGTCTATTGATGAGATTTTAGATTTCTTTTATGGCTATCAAGTTATCCCAGGCTCAGTGTGTTTAAAATACAATGAAAAAGGTATGCCCACAGGTGAAGCCATGGTGGCCTTTGAATCCCGGGATGAAGCCACAGCTGCTGTCATTGACTTAAATGACAGGCCAATAGGCTCAAGAAAAGTAAAACTTGTATTAGGGTAGACATTAATTCTTTATAGGGTGGATCTTCATATTGCTGTGATTAATACATCCAGATTTGTTTTTCTTAGGATTTTCAAGTTAGAACTGTGGATTGTTTCTTTTGCATATCATTTGGTTTTCATAACAGCATTGGCGACTGTTTACAACTTACTATCAGGATAAACATTGCTGTATGTTATAGTAAAGCTGTCTGGAAAGAACACAAACATGATTTAGGCATACCATTAGAGAAACCGTTTGTAAAACCCAATGACCACATAAAGCTTATCAAGGAGTCTAGATTGTTTTGTTTTATACTGTATGGGATGAAGAAAATAGATATGTTAGTAGAGTTCATTGAGGTCGTTCTTGCCAGCTGTTGAAAAATAGAAGTTGGCTACTCTGGGAATTTGGTTTAAAGCTGAACATACTTGCTTTGTTCTAGGGTCAAAGCTTTGTCTAAAGTCTTCATTTCTTTTAAAATTTAATAAAATCTCTGTATACAGATTCATTGTATGTACCTTTATTGCTTCTTGAGGGTTCTTGCTGTATAGACAGTCCTGCTTTCGGACATTGCTGCTTTGTTTGCTAATTGACTCATTTGTAAATGAGCAGAACTTTTGTTGTTGTTGTCGTCGTCGTTATCGTCGTTGTCGTCGTTTTCCTCTAAATCTAAAACTCCATACTTGGTTTGTGCTATCACTCTGAACTTTGATTTTTAATGTCATACTTTGAAACTGTAGAATAAGAGTTTTGCCATACAAATAAACTACAGAGTCCTCTACCTACCAGAGCATTTTTGGTTTGACCGCCTAGTTTTAGTTTAATAAACTTCATGTTTGGATGGCCTTGCAGACCAGACACCACTCTTGGTGGTCAGTGTTTAAGATGGTTTGATGTGAAGTCCCATCAGTGACGGACTGATTGTTCTAAGTAGCAGTTTCCTTCTGTCCCAACATAATGTGAAATTTTGGCCTTTAAGTAAACAGATAGGTTCATTCATAAGAAAGTATTATATATCTAGGCTTTTAAAGCTGAAGTTGAAATCGTTAGCTTTGCTCCAGTGGTAGAGTAGAATAAAAGGTTCATAAGATTGTTCATAGGTTGGTATGTGTTTGATCTTGTTACCTTGGAGGCTCTTTTGTGAGTTTGGTATAAAGTTTGAGCTTGTTTATAAAAATTCTTTATGCAGAGTAAGAGTGCAGGTGCCACAGATGAGATAATTGACTGCCTTTTTATGTCCTTTTTCTGTGGCATTCAGGACACTAAAATAGGAGGACCACATAGGTTCTGATTGATAAGTGTCCTTTCATATGGCATCCTGCTCACTGCTCCACAAGGCTCTACTTCACATTTTTTTTCTTTAGTTAAAATGCTCAAAAGATGTGTCATATTATACTATAAACATACTGAGAGGTTGGTGAGTTATCATGGAAAATAAATTTTATCTTTTATATGGGTCCACTTGTTTGGTTTGAAACCATTTCCAACAGGTCAACATATTTACAATGAGATCAGGCTTATAACAGAAATATATCCTGTTAGAAAATATGTAGTGCCTTTTTGGTGTTGTAAGAAATAGTGTGGTTGTGTAGTTTAAAGTTGGGTGTGGTAACAGGTTTTGTTTTGTTTTTGTTTTTTTTTTTTCCTCTTGTGAAAAGATTGTGTTTAATCTTAGAGGATTGACCATATAGGATTTTCTTTAGGGAAAGGATTGTTTTAGACTTTCAGAGAAAAGGTGGCTTTGTTTTGAGTCTGGGTAATTTACAAATACAAATTTGCTGTAACAGATCACTAGATGCTATTGCCTCAAATTAAAAAGTAATGTGATATTTGTGTATGTTTTTCTATTAAGTAATCATTTCTCATTTCAAAGATAATACGAACAACTTCAGAGCTGCTTGGGAATCTTATTTCAACCACAAATTTATTTCACCTGTTGGAAAGCTATTTTCATTTTAGGAAATTTGGTAATTTTGAAGTTTTTTTTTTTTTTTTTTTTTTTTTTTTTAAGACAGAGTCTCCCTATGTAATTCAGACTGGCCTTGAACTCACTTTGTACCCCAGGCTGGTCTTGAACTCACAGCAATCCTGTCTCATCCTCCTCAGAGCTGGAATTATAGGAATGTGTCACCACATCTGGCTTTGAAGATGAAATTTTTTAAATCTTTTTTTCCCCACAATTTGTTTTGGTTATATGGCCGTACATTATTAAATATTTCATACACTTTATTGCAGTTACTTTGTTACTTCTACATCTTAGATGAATGCTGAAAAGGAAAACTTGATTTCATTGTTCATTAAATAAATTAAGAAAATAGTGGTTTATGTAGAAATTGGAGAGAACTTTGTTTTATATTTCATTGAAGCACAGCAGTGCTTGTTGTGAAATGTAATTAAATGCCTTGCCCTTGTGGAATTTGATTTATGTATATCTGAGACATATTAACATAGTGCTAACTACTAAGTACTGTTTATCTTGTTCTGGGCATCAAAGTTTCAGTTTAAAAAAATTCCTGAAAATGTGTGTGAAACTATTCATACCTGTCTTTCCTATATATTTTCTCCTAACAACTAGACTTGGGGTAGAATTGAATTTATTTTGTTTTGTACAGTATGAAGGATCTGTAAAGCTTTGCTCAAAGTTGTGTGCATTTGTAAACATTATCATGGTATTCTCAATTCTATGTGTAAAGTTTATTGTCTGCTTTTGGTGACTGACATTAATGAAAGAATTTTCATTAGGTTTGATTTTTATTTTTTTCCTCCTGAGCTTTTATTGGTTTTTTGTTGTTGTTTTTGGTTTAAAAGATGAGAGAAATCTGCAAATGTTCTTTTTATAAATAAGCAAATTTGTAAAGTTCTAAACGTTAGTGTGAAACAGTTCATAAGCATAATTTGAAGGAATATTTTGTTTATATTAGTTTGTATGTACAATTACAGGTGACTTTTTTAAGTGCAACACAGCATTAAGTGAAATGGAGTTTCTAACTTTGTATTCCAAGTTGTCAAAACATCAACAAAGAAAAATTTCATTAAGAAACTTTTTATTGAAAATTTCAGACAGCTATTCAACGTAGTGAAGGTCAGTCTTAACTCACTGTATGAAAATCTAGGACTGTATATACAGAAACATGTACACATAAGGAGACACTTAGGTGGAAATAGTCATCTTGGTTAAAAATAAGGAAGCCTAAAAGTTTTACTCAAAATTCAGCTTTGTTTTACAGGATTCTGTGATTGTATACAGGTGTGGGTCAAGTGTGGAAAAAAAAAAACCTCATAATTTTAAGAACATGAAAAATGACTTAAAAATGTTAAAATTGCTGCTAATGGAATTTTGGAAAGAATTTTTGGCAGTGGTCACTTTAAAAATTATTGCCCACCCTCACAAAATTGCCACATTTAAGTTGTTGTATTTCAGTTGTTTTACTAGCAGGTCTATAGTGGTCCAAACTTTACAAACCAGACTAGTAAAATGGATCATTGACAGAATGGCCACCACATTGCCAGCAGATACTGCTTTGGCATCATTCAGCAGTTTTTGTTTCTAAAAATAAAGTCTTGAATACTGTCAATAAACTTGTCACAAAATAAAACAGGCTGATGCTTTTAATGTTTCAATTGCAGGAGTACTTTACTGAGCTATATATATTATCAGGGTTTTTTTTTTTTTTTTCTCCATTTTAACTCCTAAAAATATTTTGTGCCTTTGGAAAGATGGATTTGGTGATCTTGGAGGTGACAATTGTTGCTTACCCTTGTCTGCTATCTGCTAATGCTGAAGTGGAAAGAAGAAGATATCTGGAACTTCAGGGAGGAACTTGATTCTAGGTCATATCAGTGATATCCACCTTTTTAGAGATCGTGTGTGTTTGCTAGTGAATTTATGTGGACTTTACCAGGAGCCTGTATGCTCCTTTCACAGGACTGTCACAGGAGAAAGGAGTTTGTGAATTAGCATTTAAAAAACTGATTAGAGTAATATATGGGAAAATCTGTGTAGACTCTGAATTGCACACCTCTAAAGCATTGTGAGTGTGTACGTTGCTTTTAGTTTGTTTTTGCTTTTGCATTATTACTATGTGGGGTAATTAGAGGGAGAAGGTAGAAATCAAAAATGTTGCTGCTTCTGACATTGATGCTCCTGTTTGTCTCTTTCACGTTTGTTTAGCTTCTGAAGAAATTAGCAAATGAAGTTTTCATAAATTACATTCCTTTAAAAACAACAACCAAAAAAAGAGTTATGGGAACTAGTGGGCTGCTGCTTATAATTAAAGCTCTTAAAAAAATGTTCTATTATTAAAGAGTTTAGCCTGTATATTAATTGTAATATCCAGCTTATTTTAGATATGTTTAGATGAGACATACATAATTTGAGGTGGTCACTGGGTAGTTTACATTTTTTTTGAGAGAGAGTCTTGCTTTGTTACCCAGACCTGTCTGTCCTTGAATCCTGGTTTTAAGCAATCTTCCTGCCTCAGCCTCCTAAGTAACTGCAACTATAGCTGCTTACCCCAATACCTGTGAGCCTTTTTAGAATTAGCAAGATTGACTAAGCACTTACGTGAAATCAGCACCCCATAGATAACCCAGAATGGCCTTTACCATTTGAAAAGGGTGGACTCCGATAATGTTTATTTTTCTTGCTCAGGAGAGATTGCTTCTATAATTCATTGTTTGTTGCTTTCCAGTGTTTTGTAGCAGGAAATAGTTATCAATTATGTGTATCCATCACTTTTTCCAAAAGGAGAGATTACTTTTGTCTGTCTGTTTTGAGTTTGAGTCTTGCTATTTGCCCAGACTACTTTAAACTCACCAATCACCTTGTCTCAGTCTCCTTAATGAGCTGGGATTACAGGTATGCACCACTGCCTGTGGCTTAAAAGTAGAGTTTTTATAAAATAAGGTAGAATCTAAATTTACAACTTTGCTTTTTTATTTTAAAAATTTCTTGATTTCAGTGTCATCTTTTTAGTATAAATTCTGATTGGTCATGGTGATGTGTA